TATCTTTTTCAGTGCCCAGTAAACAAGCTCAGGTAATGCAGCCTAACATTCAAATGAATTCCTGATCTGGAGAGCGGAAAGGACATAAAAGCCTTTTAAAAGGCTGGAGTGTTGAATACAATGTCAGAGAAATAGCTCTCAATGTAAACTGATAGTTTCTCGAGATTGGTAATCACTTAGAGCGTGACAGACGAGTAAACTGTCTCTTATCTACTATATCAGAATTATTATTTCAAGTTATATTTTTTGCATCGAACGCTCTTGCGATCATGCGAAGCTCATATATGATTTCTTTGTTTACGGTTTATATCGTAGATATTTAAATAGGTTGCTCGCTCAATTTCTAAATAACGTGCATGCTTTGACATTCATAGACTATGAGTAGTCCCCGTTTTTCCTCAGGAATAGCTGAGTGAGCGAAACGCGAGCACGTGTGAAAATCACCCCACGCGAGAAAGGCGTGATGGAGTGGGGAGAGAAAAAAATGAGGGACAACAGACAACGCCCACGCTCTTGAACTTATGCATTACTCTGACAACGCAAAACTCTGATTGGCTTTTCCATCGAAATCTGTCAACATCTGACAAAAACACGCCAGCCGCTATCAACACTCGACATAATCACTATTTCCAGAATAACTAGAGCAGAACAAATAACTGGAGTTCAGCTCTTGTAGAAGCAACTAAGCAGAAAGTCAAACCGGCAACTGATGAGGTTCACTTGGAGGAGTAAAACCATGCATGGTCTTGCCTGATCACAAAGTGGCAACAACAGAACAGTCACAAGGCTGTTAAGCTTATTCAAAAGTTATCGCCAAGAAGGAAACTACGCGCTTCAGTCCAAAGACTCACATTATCCCTGCATTATCCTCAGTAAAACAAGCGAGAGTTAAAATTCATTGCTTTAAGACTGATCATCATGACTGAGTCACATCGCAATTCTCCATAGTTAATGTAGCTTCAGTTTAAGCTGCAATCCATTCTTTGAGGTTTGGATCAGTAAATCACTATCCGTGAGAATTTAACATCCTGCTAAAAACACTAACGAGCTCGGCCCAGCGTGACAAAACATTGCAGGAAACCGTCACATTCACAGACGAAAAGAAAATCGCGTAAAAATTATTCAGATCCAGGAGGCTCTTTGTCGGAGAAATTAAACAACCTGAAAACCTTATTTAGCCACATTGAAGAGCTTTATTTTTCAAAAGAGGTCAAATAAAATGCTCTTGCATCAGAGGGCAAATCATGCTGACCATAAACAATAACCGTAGAAAACTAATATGCGTGTCACGACTTCTCAGTATGAAAAAAGCGGCAAAAATCACATTTGCTCAGTCAAAACATTTTCCTCCAGAGCATGATCTAACCGTCCGAGAAAAAAAAATTCATTGGAACAAGCAGCATTTTGGCATGAGGTAAAAGTCGTGTGTTGTCTACTGACCCCCCTTTTTACACTATTAAGATCTTCACACAAAACAGCCGTGAAGAAAGTTAGTATCTGGGTTTTTTTTTACTTGCAATAAATATTGCCTGCAAGCTACCGATGACAAGAGCAATGGCAGCTCAGTGAGAGAAGGAATCCCATTGCATGCGCTTCAAAAGTTATACGAACTTCACACTCCTAAATCATTCGGCCATGAAGGGTCAAAAGCTTGGGCTTTGTCTGTAGTCCCTCATTTTTCTCTCTCCCTGCTGAGTCTCGTCTTTCTTGCGTGGTGTGCTTTTCACGCGTGCTTGCGTTTCGCTCACTGTACTATCCCTGAGGAAAAATGGGGACTACTCGTAGTCTATGACATTCACAAGGAGAAAAAGAGCTCAAATATCAACGTGTGGTATTGGTTAAGTTATGATTTGTAGTGATGTTTGGCGTAAATACATGCACCACCCAAATTGGGGTAATTGTGATCGAAACATCAAGGAATTACAAAATATGCTCATATTAATTTTGTTTCAACTTCTGCAATTTTCACATGTAATGTCTAGTTATTCTTGAGTATTTACAAGATGATCTCAGCCAATCAAATAATTTTGCAGATCAACCACTACTGAGAGAAATATACAACGAGCCTCCCATCATTTCATATAAAAGAGCAAAATCGCTGGGAGACATCCTCGTTGGAGCAAAATTATAAGGTCACGCATCACACTATCACGAGCTTATGAGTCGTTTTGGCCTGTCAACACCTTCCACCTATCTCTGTGCGCTCGATAAACATGTAATGGAGGATCCTATGCCAGCCACGATAGAATCGTGTAAATTCCCACAATTTATAATAATACGATTTAACTACTCCAATCGAAGCAAAATTCCGCTATAATCACCGTCCTGATAGGAATCTAAACGCTCCAAAGTTTCTTGTACAACAGCAAGTGCGAACTTAACGCTGCCGCCATGTTTATACAAAAGGTGCAAAGCATGATGGACTAAAGAGCCACCCACGACCCACCCTCCGACAGCTGGTCTTGATCAACGATCACTGAAGCGTGAACGAAACTTCAGAAGTCGTGTTGAAAATTTTCAAGGTCGAGTTTGAATATGACTCGGCAAGTGTAATTTAATGAGGCGAGTTGAAAATATACGGCGAGCAAGGTCAAATAAAAGAGTTGAGTTTAAAAATAAAAGACGAGTGTAAAAACAGTTTTCTAATGATGCGAAATCTGAAGGAAGAGTGTAAAACTTTATATTCGGCTATAAAATTCAAGTAGAAATTTAAATGATGAATATAAAATTAATACCATGAATTTTAGTGGGGATCGTACGCCATAGGCTATTGCCTGGACACTACTGCTTTGCCTACTCTCTTTGCACGCTGTTTAATATAATTTAACTAGAACTTGAACCTTTGAATGCTCTAAATCTCTTTTCCTCAGAAAAAAGGTTTAAATAAAGTTATAAGACGCCTGTTAACCCTGAGGACTGGGATGTTGACTTTGCTTTTCCTAACCTGTAGCTTTGTTTTAATGAGAACGAAGCTGATGTAGAAACTGAATAGTAACCTTACCGAGGAAGAGAATTATAGTCAGGTGTTTGAAAATTTTAACGCGGATCACAATTGAAGACGAGTGTAAAAACAGTTTTCTAATGATGCGAAATCTGAAGGAAGAGTGTAAAACTTTATATTCGGCTATAAAATTCAAGTAGAAATTTAAATGATGAATATAAAATTAATACCATGAATTTTAGTGGGGATCGTACGCCATAGGCTATTGCCTGGACACTACTGCTTTGTCTACTCTCTTTGCACGCTGTTTAATATAATTTAACTAGAACTTGAACCTTTGAATGCTCTAAATCTCTTTTTCTCAGAAAAAAGGTTTAAATAAAGTTATAAGACGCCTGTTAACCCTGAGGACTGGGATGTTGACTTTGCTTTTCCTAACCTGTAGCTTTGTTTTAATGAGAACGAAGCTGATGTAGAAACTGAATCGTAACCTTACCGAGGAAGAGAATTATAGTCAGTGTTTGAAAATTTTAACGCGGATCACAATTGAAGACGAGAATGAACTGGCAGAAAGAGAGGCTTTCCCAAAAACAATTAACAAGCGAATCCCTTCGACAATGACAACAAACTTTATACCTTGAAAAGCTTCTTTACCTTTTGCAGTGTTTTTTTTTTTTTACAAGGACAAACGGAGGAAAGATGGAAAAGACTTCTAGACAGACACAGTGTCCGGTTTCCAAAATACTCCAGCGTTACATTAAAGAGTTAAAACTTGCAGTGCTCTTAGCTTTGACCGAATAAACTTTTTCACTGACATGGCGAATTTGTTTTTATTTTCTCGGAAAGCCTTTGTTATGTGCGCCATTAAAAACTTTCTTTTTTGACGCCTGTCAAATGACTGTCAAATCGTGCGTCCTACACTTGTTTCCAGTCCCCCAAAAAGGAAGAAGCCATATAATAAACATCGATGGAAAAAAAACTCGGTCCGTAATTTACAGTACGGACCGAAAACTCGGCTAATAAGAGGTATGTACCATATGTTGTGATTTTTGCATAAACAATACAGGAATAATTATTTTTGTATTGCTTACCCCCTGACTATAAATTATTATGTGTATAAAATTGCCTAAAGTAATTCAATGTATAAATTAGAGGGCTGGAGAGGAAATTAATGGGTCTTAGGGACCAGTCATAATTTAAGTTGAAGGCGGGGGGGGAGTGGAGGAGAAATTGGGGCCCTTCAATTTTTTTTGGATGGAATATGGGGGGCCTTAAAATGCCAAAAGATGACCTTGGGGGGGTCTTCAAGTTTCTTGTAAGTAGCATCCCTACTGAGCAGCATGATGTTTGATTATTAAAGTCCTATATTGTGTAATACTAAAACAATTTAATAAGCATTTTTACAAAAAGATTTAATGCTCAAATAGTAGGTGCATCAACACAACATCCATTATTGTGTAACACTGAAACAATTTCATCGGCATTTTAACAAATGATTACATGCATAAAGTCATATTTTGCAATCTCACTATCCGAATCATTATTTGTAGATGAGGTTGATGTGGACTCACTGTCTGTGTCACCGTCAAGTTTTTTGCTATTAGAGCATGTACTGCTCATATAAAAAGTAGTAAGCTTTGGCTGATTATCTTCTTTCTTCCTTGAAGCGGTCCTGTCGGCCTCTCACCTTTCGATGGCTTGTCTTATCTCAATTATAACACAATCACTGATATATCCTTGCTCTATAAGCTGTTTGAGAGGCTCTAGGTGAAATCTCTTTCTCAGTTCAGTGTGAAGTGCTTCTCTGTTGTTAGTTGGCACATTCGGAAGTGACAGTGAGTAAGAACGGTAAACTAAAGAAAATGTTATTTGTTATTACCATTTGGGTATTATGTATAAGAAAGGGGGGGCCTTAAATCTTTTAACATGATTGAAGGGGGGGTACCTAAAAAACATAGGTGCTATTAGTGGGGGTCTGGAAAAAATTTGGAATAAAAAACGATTTCTCCTCCACTCCCCCTCCAACTTAAATTATGACTGGTCCCTTAAGTCACTGTGGGAGTTCTTTTGTCGGGGGTGGGGTGGGTCTGTGGGTCTGTGGGTCTGTGAACATGGGTTATTACACACTTAATGAGAAATCATGCATTCTGGAAATAGAAAACTAAAAAGGGTAATAACTACAAGACAATTTGAACCTCTTTAAGTTTTTAATGATTTAAAGTGAGTTAAGGCGACTAAATGGCGATTTTAGGCGAGCGCGAGTTAAGGCGATTTTAGGCGACTTAAGGCAACTTTGGGCGACTTTAGGTGACTTTAAAAGGTCCCAGAGTAGGCCAAGGCTTTATTCTATTTCTGTGCAATACAACCTTTAGATTTATACCGCACTGAAGCAGAATTTGTTGTTGTTTGAGTAAAGACTGTCACACGAGATCATTCGAATGCAATTTTCTGGTAGAACTTTAAAAATAGTCAGAACGTTCTTGGATCGCGTTTCTGTAACTAAAAAAAATTATTTACCATCTTAGTGTATATTAAAAAAAGAAAACTCGCTAAATTGGGCAACTGAAATCTTTTAGCTTACTAACAAGCTAAACGACAAAGTACAAAACAAAAACTTTGCTATCGCCATTATGAAGTTGTCACTTCAGAAGTAAAAAAAAACATAAAGGTTCATAAAAGTTCACTCTAAAAATTTGCATGCACTAACAAAATTTATAAAACCATTACATAAGTATTTTTTTGTATTATCATTTGGTATTATCATTTGTTTATGACTGGCAAGATAAAACGCGACCTTCAACCTGTAATATTCGATAGGCCATTTTGACACTACATAAACATAAAAGGTGAAAAAACACCTTAACTTATAAGACTAACTATAAAATATCACCTAAATATTTTCTGTATATCGCATAGAAATACGCCAAATATCAAATCTAATCATAGATTGCAGCGATCTAAAATAAATAATAAATCCGAACCTACCTCCAGCTAGACGGCGCCATTTTTCTTGCCCTGACGGCTGATCGAGAGCGGAAAGACGAACTAGTTCCAGTCCTACTCCGCACCACAGCTGAACAGGAGAGCGCGTATGAGCAATGAGCAAACACCGCGGCAAAACGCACTGCGCATGAGCACAAAATTTAACATCCGGTCAGCTTTTTATTTCCGGTCTAGTACATAAACCAATTGCGTAAGCATAATATTGCCGTCGCGCCAAGTTTAAAAGTAAAAAGGGAGAAACAGACAAAAAAGGGGGCGAAAAAAAACACTTCATTCGAAATCTTATATATTTTCTAGCGTCAAACTTTTGCACCACATGGTTATCTGTTTGCCCCAACGGTGACATGATGTTTGAAGTTTGCAGGTCGCGAGCGCTCGACAAGACGAATTTGTTTTTACTGGCTTTCTTGCGTGCTGCTGGTTCGGCAGAAGTTGTGGGAGCAGGCGACAACTAAGAAAAGAATAACAATAGTTATGAAAGAAACCAAAATGAAGACGTCATCATTATCATTAACATTAAAACCAGGAAATAAAATTTTAGTCCCCGTTTAATAATTTTTTTTATTATCTGAGAAAACAAGAGCTCAAAACAAGACATGGGCGGGATTTAGAAACAACTTCGACTTTCATGACTGCAGTCACGAACACCCGGAGTTTTCAGTGCCGGGAAACTAAACAGTATAAATGACTTTCATTCAAGAAAATGTCTATGTAATTCTTTTACATGGTTGTTCTTTGGTTGAAGACTTCAATAATTTCAGACTGTGCGGCTCGGCTGCTTCTCATACAAACACGAAACTTCCAGATGCTAAATACATGGCATGAAAAGTTCGACTTCTAAAAGCCATCGAACCAGCTTTCGCTCTCTGATTCTGAGAATGAAAAAAATTAATAGAGTTGTCAACTTGCTGCTAACCTCAACAGTATAATTAAGCTTATGTTTCATAGCAATCAACTCAGAAGAGTTTCATTTCAAAACACGGTAACTCACTGGTAAATAAAACTACAAAGCGATTGTGTGTTTTTGTTTTTCAAATGAAGCTCGAATCGGCTTTAACACATGAAGACTGAGAAACTGAAGAACTGAAAATTAGAACTACAATACACAAGCTTGCAATGATAACTTTTTATGTCTCAGTTTCAGCCAGGTTAAAGTGAAAAATAACAGTCAAAAACTTTGTTTTCGTGAATGAAAATCAGTTTACCTGACGCTCTAGCCAAAATTACACACTGAGTTATTATCATCTTACCTTTTCTGAATCTATACGACTAATTGTTTCAGTGATCTGTACCTGGTTATCCATAAAACCAATTTCAATAACTACAAAATAGTCAAAAACACGAGCAGCATGATTCAGAACAACTGAACCACAAGCTGCACAGAAGCCGAGAGCGCACGGGAGACTTTGATCTGACTGGAAAGTGTGACTGAAAAAGAGACCGGAAATGCTCAACCTGGCGCATGCGTAGACGTTTTACCGCGGTGTTGTATGAGCAGGGGTGATAAATGTTAGGCGGTGAACGAGCGCTCCGCCCTTCATTTAATGTGTGATGCGGAGTAGGACTGGTGCGAGCGCTCTTTTTGCGCTTCCGGTGCGCGTGAAGGCCGGCGAAATTTTCCTTTTTGCAAACCGGAAATCCTATTTTCTTTCTGTAATTTCAGGCCACAATGTTAAATAGATAAATTAGTTTGATAACAATAGCAATAAACAGTTTCATATGTTTGTGTCTGTATGCCTATAAGTCAAACTTGTTGGTCGTATAATGCCAAAATTTGAGTTTAATTTGAAAGTGTTGAATACATCCTCCTTCAACTAAATATCACCTAATCGTCTTTCGCCGTTTCGTTTGCAAAAGCTTAACACTTCTTAACCTCAATTTTTACATATGTTAAAGGGGGATAAATATTATATAACATAACAAAAAATTAGGTTGATATATTTCGATATAGTGGCGTTGTACTGCTTCAAACTTTGCTTCTCGGGTGCAACGCGCCATAGCGATTCGCGCAATGCGTCGCAAATCCGGCAACCGCGAGTAAACAAAATTTATTGAGGTTAGTTGTAGGGTTTTTTCTCCGTTTTTCTCGCTAAGAAAAGCAAGGTAAACAGTAAAAACTGAGGGGAAACTAATTTTGAAGTTTCAAAGAACCAGAAAGACGTATGAGATGTTTTCTTCAAAATTAAAAAAAAAATTGATTGTGATTGAAATTAGCATAATTTCACCTTGCACGAGCTGTACGCATTTATAAAATGCACGTCATTTAGTTGTGAAACACGATCTGCTTTCTTTTAGTTTTGACATGGATGAGATTTTCCTTCGTGTTTTAGACAGTATTTAGTTGTTTTTGTTTTGGAATAACATCGGTATTGGCGAGTAGTGGAACGAACATATAATTCAGTGTTAGAGTCATGGAAGTAATAACGGAAACCCTTTGAAAGAGATGTTTGTCTACTCCAACTAAACCTCCCGCAAAAAATAGCAACATTTGCCTCTCGGAGGCAGCGTACCAGCACAAAGGAACGAGGAAGAAGTGCAAAAAAAAAAACAAAACAAGCCGCCATAATTCAGTGACAGCGGCAGTGTCTAATGGACAAACCACATCGCAAGCCCTGACCGAAGTCGAAAACAAGCGACATTTCTAAGCAGAGTCATAGTCCACTGCATCACACCTTTTTGCTCGGACGCGCTCGTTTCACCGCTCAACCTTTAATTATCCGCTCCACGTGTGAGCGTATCAACGCCCTAGGGCTTCACACCTCAATGCCCTCGACTTCGCGCCTCACTGGCGTTTTATCCACATTCAAATTTGTTTCAAGGAACCTAAAGCAGGTGAATGAAAACCATCCTGGAGAGCTTTAATTCAGTTTTCGGTGTAAAGGAAATAAAAATTTCCCATATCTGTGACTGGAAGGACCGTAAACATGGAAGGCAGCAAAGAAATGAAATGTTCGTGTGGTGCGATTGTACTAACTTGTCGCAAAAGACAAAGTGCGTTTGCTTTTCAACGAGGTAAGACGATATTAATTCATCGTTCCTGGTTGTCGAACCTATGTCATCGAAGATCGACATTACGGCCGTTTATACTCGAGAAAATAAGCCGCGGTTTTATTTAAGACGCGAAAGGTTCGAAAGGCTTATAACATGCGAACTGCCTCAGGGAACCCAAACGCTTATGAATCGTTTTGGAAGGGATTTGAACTAGAGATAGAAGACGTTTGTTTGGCTGATTTCTTTTGAATGGAACGCGAAAGTTAATAAACTTTACGTCTTCGATTGATAGTCAACAATAATGGCAACTTAAGGCGTGACTGTCGCGACGCAGATCCCGCGAGAGGGAAATAGATGGCCCTCGAAAAATTGCGTTACTTTCAGCGTGGACAGTTAAATATTCACCTCGCCTAGCCACCTCCGCTTCCGTGAATAATGATGATTTTTAACTCATTTATTGCTGCCAAGGATTAACCGATTAACGTCATGTTTTCTTGCCAACAAATACAACATTTGAAGGCATTTGTTAGCTTTTGCGGGGACATTTCTTCCAAACGAGTTGTGAGTTCTTCTGTCAAACCGTATTTGATTTAGTTTTAAGCTTACTTATTTATGAACATGTCAGCTAAATGAAGTGTTGCAAGACTTAATTTCCATAAAATTGTAAACAAAAAAACTTTTTCACCAGTTTCATTGATAAACCAGGTTTAACAAACCGTGTTTCGTCACCTTCTTTGTAAATAAACTAGGAGTAATAGGAGCTTAGGAGAGTGCGTTCGATATGTTTGTTAGGCAGGTAGCAGTTGATGGGGAAGGGTGTATGGTTCTTGCGATAGATAACTATGATTATGGTATATTTTGAGCGTAAGGGTTGCATACAGCGAAACCTCTATTGAAACTGCAGGCGGTGTGCGCACTGTGATTGTGATACATTGTGGATGTAGAATTTTCAAGATGGCGGAGAAGGTCGAGAAATTTCCCAGGTTATATGCTTTATATTTCGATAGACGTAGTTCTTTTCTGAGAAAGTTATCCACAATTACATAAATTCATACTTATTTACGATTAATCTGTGAAGAAAAAAATCAACATTCCTCATTACAATCTAAATCACGGAGCACGAAGATTCATCCTCTACGAGCATGAAATTTGAACTGGTTGTTTGGAGGGCTATAATTTCTATCTGACGATAGAAACTAGTCTTAAGTGTTTTTACAAAGATTGTTCTACGCCCAGGTATAAAATAAAGGCTCCCCAACGCTCCCCACTTTTTGAAATAATTTTTTCAAATTAAAACCGACCTGTTTTCTTAACAAAATGTGGCCTCGCACAAACGGCATGTCACTGGAAGTGTCACTCTTGTATTCACGAGTTAATTACAAAATAGTTCATTGGTTATATACAGGAGCATGAAGCCTGTAGACGACTGCACATAACAAATGTCAGATTTATGAAAAAATATGTGAATCAGTGAAAAATGGCCTATTGAAGTCTGATTGAAAACAAACATATCACAAAATAGCTAAAAATAGCTTTTACCATAATCTTATGAAAATATCTGAATATTATGACCTCCCTGATTTTGATCCTAATAATTTAAGTGAAGCTAAGATCAAACACTATGTAGATAGAATAAAACCAAAATATATTGCATATTGGCAACATACAATCCATCATTCTAAGAAACTACAATTTTACAGCTTATTTAAACATGATTATAAAATTTCAAGTTGTCTAGACTTAATTTGAAATTCTGCTAATAGGAAAGATTTAGTGAAAATTCGTATAAGTAACCACAAACTCATGATTGAAACTGGAAGATATAACCAAACCTCCCGCAACGATAGATTCTGCCCTATTTGTAACTCTGGTATAATTGAAGACGAATTTCATTTTCTCTTCCATTGTCCAAAATACTCAATCCCAAGGGAGAAATTCTACAATCAAATCCAACAAAATTTTGTCAACTTTAATCAGCTATCTTACACAGAATTAATAATCAAATTGATGAATTCACAGAATTTTTCCGTAAATTCACATCTGTTGAAATTTGTCTCATTATGTAATGATTTACGTAATAATTTGTTATCAGATCATGCTGATGACACTTGATTGACTATAGTAATCATTGCATTGCATTATCATTGTTATGATTTGTTTGTTTGTTTGTTTTTTTTTATGTTAAAGCTTTTGCAATACTGTAACTACATAATTATAGTCATGCAAATAAAGCTTATGCTGTTGTTGTTGTTAACCTGAGATAAAAAATTAACTACAAGATATCCAAAGTGGGAAAAAGGGGGTACTACTTAGATCCACCACAGTAACAATTGCTAACCCAAAAGACTAAAGTATATCAACAACTAGCCTGCGAACTTCAGACGTTTCTCCTCGCTCATGGTCTGCCGTTCGCAGGCTAATCAACAAAGTGGAAGGAAAATAATATCCGTCACTATAAAATTACAGCACTGAAATACTAATCACCATGCCAACATAATATAATGTGAATACATTTACCCAAAAGTTTCCACCTAAATAACACCTATGACACAATATTTGAATTAAACAAAAGAAGTTGGAGGGAGGAGGATCACAAGAAAGGAAAGGGGTCTCCCTACATGTTGCCCCTGATTTCAGTAGATTTGTAACCACAAATGTATGGTGGCCCATGTGTGCCATAGGAAAGAGCTGTAGAGCGAGAGTAAATCAATATTTTTTGCAATATTTTTTAATTTAATGATTAGTTATCTTTATTTTTTATCTTTATCTTTTTATTTCTGTTTTATTTCTTTTTATTCCGTGGGATGCCTGTGGCACTCCCACGGTAAAAATCCGGTTCGGTTGTACCCAAAATTGCAAAGCCAGCCAATAGGATTGCGTAAAATCTTTATCGATTATTTCTTCTTCCAAGTCGACCAATGGGATTGTACAAAACCTTTATCGATTTTTGATCGATTTGCTTCCTCTGAGGAACGTTTCAGAACGTTTCATTGTACGAACAAATTGCAAAGCCAGCCAATAGGATTGCTTAAAATCTTTATCGATAATCTCTTCTTCCAAGCCGACTAATCAGATTGTACAAAATCTGTATCGATTTATAATCGATTTGCTTCTGCTGAAGAACGTTGAAATCAGAACGTTCCTTGCCAAATTTGTCACCCTTGAGTTTTCCCACTCCTGCTTTAGGATGGCTTGTTAACCAGCGAAATCCTTCGGGATACTGGCAAGTCACGAAAGGCGACCTAAGCCAAATTATTTCTTCCCTTCATGATTCTTTTTCGTTTAGGTCCAGCTTTTTCATCAGGTTTTAGTAACGTCTGGTTGCGGGGACGTGATTTCCGATAGATTTTTCTGGTCGGAGTTCGCCAGTTTTTGCTGAGCACAGCTAGAGTTCAGTTTTTTTCTTTTCTTATCGAAAACACCTTGACGCTAGGAGGTTAAATCGCGTAAATTTCAACTCGTACCCTTGACGATTGGGGGTGAAATCGCGAAAATATTGTCCTCGTCGATCGTCGACTCGCTTTCGACATGGATTGAACTTCTGGATGGGACACGGATCAGGACCTTAGGAAACTTATTATACCTTGGAATCAGGGATAATCATTGGAACTATGTTAACTTTGAGACCTTGGAAACACATTGAAATTAATTTTTAACCGTATCAAGAGCATCTTGGAATATTAAACTTTCATCTTGCATTAAAACATTGGAACTTTATCGAACTTTGTAACCCTGGGTTCAACCCTGGATAAAGCAAGCGGATGTTTTGTTTGTTCCATTAACCTAAAACTACAATGTTTATTTCTCTTTGAAAAAGTTACCTGTGGCAACTTACTACCAAGATATGACGTATCTTTATACATATAGTTCCTGTCCAGGTTAATCAGAGAGCATTGTGCGCATGTTCTCCATTACTTGTTTCCGCTAACATTCCAGTTTAAGTTACGCGGGTAAACCTTGTTTTGATGCAAAATAACTTCTTTTTCTTATCCAAATCGTGCTACGAAAATAACTACATAGCAATAGATCAAAAAAGATCAACTCAATCCTTGCGACCACTGACAACTATAAATTTAGCTTGCGTAGCAGGTGTCGAAAAGGGGTAGGGGATAGGGAGGAAGCAAAAAAGGGATGTGGATTGGGGAGAAATAGTAGCCTGCCACGCAGGCTACTATAAATTCAGTCATAAGCACATTAAACCAACCCATACAGGTAACGTACTTATCGATGCTCATAACATGACACATCTTTCTGGTTTCCCTAATTTTTCCACATTCAGATAGAAAGCCATTATGTTTCCGTAGAACAACGCATCCCACGGAAACGACTTTAGGCGTCTTGTTATTTTCTCATTCACGTAACAAAGAAAGTAAAATAAAAAAAAGGAAATAAATGAGTACGGCCTATGAGTGCCATAGCAAAAAATAAAAATAATAAAATAAATAAGTAATTTGGCCTATGAGTGCCATAGTAAAAAATGAAAATAACAAAAGAAATCAGTATGGCCTATTCTTATAATTTTGGCTAAAACCCCCAAAACCAAATGCTTTAAGTTAAAGGCTTTCATGAAATTGACTCATTATTAGTAATGGGTTTTCATTATTTGTACCTTGCTTTTTTTTCAGAAATCTCCTTGCTTACCTTTATATCCCAATTTTACAAAAAGAGCTTGATGTTTTTAGGGGGTTTTAGCCAAAATTAGAAGAGCATGTAAACAAGAAAATAATGATTATGTTCTAACACTCAAGGTTTACCAGCCACTTTGTTTGTTAATTTTAGCCGAGGAAAGTAATATTAGTTTGAGTTAGCAGATCAGAGCCTGAGTAAACCAAGTTCGAGTTAAGGTTGTTTCACCGTAACTGTTACAGTTACGTGGGTAAAATTAACTGATAGGTACCAGTCAAGTCAACTACATCTATCTAGTGGGGCTAATTCTGACAGGCAACTGGACAGGAATTACTTTACGCCGGCCCGCTCATGAACGCTTTATCTCTATGGGTTCGCCTTGCCTTGGTAAGTTTTGATCCCTATAATTTTCGGATCACTAGACTTTCAGCTAGGAAATCCGAACAGATGAAAAGTTTTTAGGGGATAAAAATATGCCTATATCTACCGTTTCAATACTAAAATATGTTCACCAATGCTATGTTAACTGGTTTTGAACTATATCCTCGTTGGGTGCCCCTGTTACCTTTAGTACTTTCATGACTGAAGCATAGAACAAAGCAGCAATTCTTCGATTTACCGACTGCATGCGAGTGATTTCGAACAAAATACACTTATTAACGGAATGACACTCTTTTTCCCCGATAATTCGATAGCCTTTGTTTTTACAGACGTCTCTAGAAGAAAATAAAGGTAAATAGCTGATTTCTACAGCGTATTTAACGAATATTCGTCTCCGCAGTCGCTTCCTGCGAGATGTTCACTCTTCGCCATCTTGACACAAATGATCAGATTTTGAATACCGCCCATGATGCTTTGCGATCCCAGTGCGCACACCGCCTGTTTAAACTGTGTATCATTATGAAACGGTTTTGAAGGCTAGTGATCAAAGTGATATCTTATGGTTCGTCTCAAGTGCTTGTAATTTGAGGAGACACCGGCCAGAGTGAGTCGAGCGTGTAAAAATAACTTTTTGTTTTACTGGTGCAATAGATGTTCTACAGGGCGCAATTGTTCAAAAACATTTCTTTGGATAATTTTCTCTGTTACTGTTAAGAGCACCCAATCATCAACTAGTTGACAAAATGAAGCTTTCACATCTGAATTCAAATTTCGCACTAACCCTCCTCGCATGCGTTATCTTTACCCAGCTTTGAACAACCCGGCCCAGGTATTGTTAAAAAGCAAACAGTTGACAAAGTTTTAGTTGTAATCATTAATTCAGTTACCTATTGGGGATCCACACGCAGAATACTGAAATTTACTATGAAATGAAACTGTTACTGACAAGTCTTCTTAACTTGTGATGATATTGAAGATCGACTTAAGACCATAATTTTTGGGGTGAAGGCCGGGGCACAATAGGGAGCTTAAGCAACAACGTTTTTGAGCGACGCACGTCAACCGGAAGTGGCCTTTTTTCATTTTTTGACGGTGGTTTCGCGCAAATTTTCAGTCAAATCGCCTCTATAACAGTAAAGAAGCTAAGGAATACAAATTTTAAATCATCAAGGCATGTTAAGAGGGAAAATACCTCACTTCCGGTTGACGTGCGTGGCTCAAAAACGTCGCTGCTTAAGCTCCCTAATGATTGTGTTTGAACACTTGTTCACTTATACTGCACTTCTCAATTTCATACGTTTCAAGGGAATCATCAAAGCCTTCAGTGGAATTTGTGTGCGGCTCACGTCAATAACTTTTCCAGTAATTTTTGGTCACGTTTTTCCGCATAAACTGAACATATAGCTGAAATGTTCGTTTGTCAGGTGCCGAAAATATCACAAGTCATGATGAAATGGCGCCGCCGAGCTTTACACTTTGAGGAACAACGGCCGCCGAGCTAGACAACTCGGTAGCCTACTCGGTTGATTACTTTGTGACACTAGTGTCCCCTAGCTGCACATCTCAGTAGATTTACTTTTTGCACAACAGACGCCAAGCTGCACAACTCGCCGGTAATTTTTCATGCGCAACGGCTGCCGAGCTAAACAACCCGGTTTGATGCATGCACCAGGAATCGCACGCATTTTCCAAAGAAAATATAAAGGCTTAATCCAAAGCAAAATTTACTCAGGGTGTAAATTAAACTTTCAACAAACTTTTGAAAGGTTAACGGTTTGGAAGATTCATTAAACACTGATCGATTGTAGACCTTCAGCAAACTGTTAAATCATGTACGCTTTACGAAGATAGACCTCGTCACGGTTTTCGACGCCATGGCCATCTTGACGAATAGGCAAACGCGTGAGAAATCACAGTGTTTCTATGAGAATCCAGTGTCGAATAATTTCGGTAAAAAGGCTGTTCTGGAAAAAATATGAACTGTAAACTAAAGCTACACAGCAAAGGATATTACCAACATATTTTGGAGGCCGTTACTGTGCTTAAATTTCTCCAGAAGCTTGCTTTAGATTTTCCATATATTTGTCTGCAATTTTTCCCGAAAAATTTTTACAGACAAATGTATAGAAAATTTTTAAAAAAGGGTCTAGGTCTTCTAGCGCATATAACGCCCTCAAATTTTTTCAGTAGAAGCCTTAAGAATGAAGCTGTAGTTTACAGTTCACTTTTAAAACAGCCGTTTTACGGAAATTATTAGACGTTAGATTCTCATACAAACACTGTAATTTCTCACGGGTTTGCCTACTCGTCAAAATGGCGTCGAAAACCGTGACAAGGTCTGTTCAGCACACTTTTAAAAGATGAACGCTTTACTAAGACAGACAGACCTCAGCAAACGTTTGAAGGATGGGAGCCCGAAAAAATGATTGTCAAATTTCACAAACATTTTACACATGAAATTTTCAGAATTTTACCTGTTTTTTCACAATTCTTGTGAAATTTGACATTCATGTTCTCGGACTCCCATGAGAAAGTCCTTGATATTATTACGAATGACTAATTACGTCTTAGCCCTTGAAAAATGTAAGAAAGAATGCAATATTCTTTTAATTGTTCTGGTACAAGGTGTTTGTCCACTGAAATTTAAAATTACTCAATTTACTGAGCTGGTGGACTCCGTCTTAATGTCTCGGTGTGTCATCTTGTAATGACCTGAAGTGAAATGAATGAACCAACCACTGATCAACACCAATGGTTGTCTTGCACGCTTGACTAATGTAAATTTTTTTTTTTAATTATCATGGAGTTACATTTAATGCAGAAACTGTTTTGCAGTTGACAATATATCGAAACAAGAGCATATTGAGTTAATATCGCTTAACAAGTGCATTGTTTTAAATGCATATAATTATAGTTTTAATGTATATATTGTGGTTGTTTTTTCTATCTCAGGAAAGTTTTATTTTTTCACGTTTTTGGGTATGATATTTTTTAATGAATTTGAAACAAAGGAAAAACAAAAATTACCTGAAATAAAAAAATAACTGCAACATACATCAAACGGTGAATTCTTAAATTCTTCAACACCTTCTCTGAAACAGGCCATCTAATAGAGTAATCGAATTAAACTTTTCAGGTAAGAATTTTCGGGTCAAATTTTGCAGCAAACAAGTCTATTATGTGTCAAACTGTGCCATTTCCTCGGGGTATGATACTGGGCATAGAACACTTACAGTGTCATTTTATTGATAACAAAATTTGAAAATTTCAGAGGCTACATAGTGTCCAAAAGCTAGCTAATTAGTCTTAACTGGCAGTTGAGTTTGTTTTTTGGTGCAGATTATGCAATTTCTTATCCTTCTAGATAACGGTTTCTTCCTCCCTTAGAACTTGAAATACTTCAAAACAAAGGATTTATTGAAAAAGATGTGCTGATTTTGACCTTGGAGGATCCCAAAGGTGGCGTTGGAAGTGGTGGTGCCCTGATTAATGCCTTACTTGTGGTCACAGAGCATCTGAGTGCTAAAGCAGGCTTTGGGGTTGGTAATAATTATGACTGTATAACACGCTATTTTTACCTAAGACCTTTTCTATCAGAACATTTTTTTTGTCTTGTGTTCACACTTAGATGTAACCAACTGTAACTGTCTGTCTCAAAGAGGTGTTGGCCGTATTATAGTCAGTCATAGATTAAACCGTTTATTAGCTAGCCCCAATGTCCTGATTTAAAATTCTCCATACTGAACTCCACACAAAAAAAAATTATCCTTAAAGAATTATTTGAGGGAACTGAATTTCTTTAAAGATGAAAGATCAATGTATTTTCCTTTAGGGTTATCATTTCATTAATGTAAAATGATAGGAAATACTTTGATCTTTAACAAATTCAGTTTTGTCACTTAATTGTTGAAGGAAATTTGTTTTTTGTTGCAAGCCATACAATAGAACTTGAACTACTACCTTGCTGACTGCAGAAATTTAGGGCCTGTTTACATAGAGGTGGAGGACCCCAGGAAGGTGAGGTAAACCGCTTAGGTGGGGTTACCTGCCTGTCCATATAATCTCTCATTTTGATGGGATCACGTTTACATTTTAGGTGGGGTAACCCGCCACATGCTACCACACCTACCTGGCGTCCCCCACCTTCATGTAAACAGGCCCTTATTGAAGAAAAATTCAAATGCAACTTTTGTACTTAGTGCTAAGCCTGCTTACTGGTTACAACTTCTTTTCATTCTTACAATAGGTCGTTACACAAAGTGTTTTGAAGAATGCAAGGATACTCATCATGCATATGGCATGTACTAATCTATTATTACTCTCATCATCATTATCACATTATGTAGCTTTTTCTCTGTTTTTGAGCTGATCATTGACAAGATAGCAAGTCTCTATGGTAATAAAGATTGAAATTCCTGCGCAGCGTAGTTACTTAATGTTAATTTTAAAACTGTAAAATAGACACTGTTATTTTAAGAGACTTAACCGACGTTTTGGCAATGCTGCCTTCTTCAGGGTACAAGACTAATCTTGTGCCATGAACAAGGCAGCATTGCCGAAACGTCGGTTAAGTCTCTTAAAATAATCAGCGTCCATTTTATAATTTTCAAATTAACGTCAAGTCTCTATGGTACATGATAACCTCGTCAGTTACATCCTCCTGCGAGGTACACCACATGGTTAGCTCATTTGGGAGAGCGCCTGTCTGCTGAGTGGGAAACCACGGGTTCAAACCCCAGCTGGACCATCACTCATCTTAAAATAACTGAGGAGAAAGTGCTACCTTTGAATGAAATCTGCAAACTAAATTTCCTAGTCTTCTCACAACAATTTCACTTGATATATAGTTCTTGTGGGATGTAAAAGAACCTACACTGCTGTTCGGAAGGAGCAGGGGATGTAGACCCTGGTGTTGTGGCCGACCTTTCTTGGGCTGGGTATAGGTTATTAAGGAGAGGTATTTTAATGTTATATAGGGATAACCTAATGATCGTCCATCAGGTGTACTAATGGCTACCTGTAAACAGTGTATGTATGTATGTATATATGTGAGCATAAATTCGTTCTGGTTACATCGGACTGAAATTTTCATAGAAACTTGTTTGTCTCTCGTCCTTTTAATATTCTTTTGTAACATTTTTGTAAGTAATGAAGTAATAGAGTACTAAAGTGTGACGTCATAAAAATGAAATTTCTGAAATTATGGGATTTGCCGGGATATTCTGAAAGGACAATGTCCAAGAGGCCAACTTGCCAAAAATGAGCATTTCGGGGCAAATTGTCTCTGAGATCGTAGCCCAGTTATGCTTAGAAAACTTCATACAAAACGTTCTAAATTTTTTTGGGTTGACCCCCCAAAAAATTAGAAGGGTTTGTATGGAGTTTTCTGAGTATAACCGGCTAACATCTCAGAGACAATTTGCCCCGAAATACTCATTTTTGGTAAGTAGGCCTCTTGGACATTTTTCTTTCAGAATATCCTGACAAATCCCATAATTTCACAAATTTCATTTTCATGATGTCATCACTTTAGTACTCTATAGCTGAAAAAACATTCTTTGATTATATATTTGTTTCTCAATTGAAATCTGTTTTCTTATGTAATCTGAGATTTCTTTCCTACTGTGTATGTTTTAGGGTTGGGATTTTCCATTAAGCTCTTGTGGATGGTTCTTCAACACTCTTCCGGCGAAGCACAACGAAAAATGTAAAGAGTCTCTGTGTGATTCTGTAGTGTCAAACTTTGACTATGTGCTTACAGTTATCTCAGCAACGGTAGGCTCATTTTACATCTTTTGTTTTATTATTTATTATTATACAGCTGAAATTTTTCCCAAAGCGCATTTAACCTCTGAGATGTTTAAGTCACCTGTTAATTGCCTCTGAACGATATATATAGGGTCGTAACTCGCCCGATGTGTATTTGTCGTTCTTTAAGCCTGACAAAAAGAAATAAGCTTGGAAAGACAGTGACTGCACATGTGGAATCCAACGTTAACTGAACTAAAATAACATCTCGGATAAGTTGGTTCACTATGTTGTAGAGTGTTGTATGGTATCGGGTGAAGATATCAGTCCTAGCGAACCCCTCAGGGCGAATCGACTTTCGGGCGAAATGACCCCAATTCGTCTGAACGATGCAAGTTTTTAGACGATAAATGCGTCTCTTATTTGGACGTTAGAACGACTTTAACGTCTCAATCGACTTAAACGTCTCTAGTATAATAACTGCCAATAATAAACCTTTCTAAAGTATCTAATTTGATGACATGCGTTCAGTTTTTGGATTCCCGAATGTCACTAAGGGTACTATTTCAAACATGGTTAATTATGTTGCTCTGGCAATGCAAACATAAACTAGCAGCTTTTGCCCGGCTTCCATCCCCATCCAAAAAAAAAAGAATACGCCTGCATTGCTGGCAAAACACGTATCACTTGATTACTTTGTGCACTTTCAGTTTGAAGCGTCACTCTTTGTGAGGTTGTGAGATCACTACGCATTCAACTTACTCCTACACACGACTGGATATATAAAAAAATCGATTACAATGCAACCTGGAACTCCAACAGGTGGTTAATTTTTTTTCAAACTTCGGGGGAGCGCTCGAAAAATCAGTCTTGAAACGTTCTTACGGTGGACAATATACTTAACCCTCTAGGTCCCAAGAGTGACCAACATCAATTTTCTCCTAACAACATCAGCAGATCATCAAGAGTAAAGGTTATGAGAATTACTAAATTTATTACCAAAGGGAGGATGCTTTGATGTTAAACCAAATTCTCTCAACTATTCTTAAAAGAAGAGTATTGAGATCAGTCTCGAGAATTTGTATGGATCTTGGGGCTTAAAGGGCTTAATCGACTCGGTTGATAAACACGAATTTTTTGTTCTAAACAATAAAGAAATGACTTGACGTTATCGTATTAATGGGGTAGCCTTATGATGGAGTTCCACTGTATTGTAGGCTATCACTGTAAAATCAGCGATATTTTGGGTATTGTTATATTTCGTGACTGTAATCAGTATAACTGTGTTCTTCTATGTAGTTATCAGTGAATTCTCCTCCTGGTGTTTGGATCTGCAGTTCTCACATGTTGCCGTCGATTGCTCCAGACGCCCGTAAGTCTTACAAATGGAGAGATTAATCACAACTCAGTCTTCCCGGCCAAACGTCTCAGATTCTGTGATCACGCCTTTTACACTACACTTATACATTCAAGAGATCTTATTTGGCAGGGGCTTAGCGTGAGATTTTCAAGGTGTACGCGCGGGAAGAAAAGTTAGACCGTCGAAAGCACTCCAGAGTTTTCCACAGAACATTTTCATTGATTAAGTAAGAAGGACAACGCAATAGTTGATTGTTTATTTTGCCCACCGGCTCTAGTGTTACCGGTATGGTACAGTTAGCTGACAGTGTTTACGGACAATTGGGGGAAAAGTCAAACGCCACCAAGAAGGTTAAGGGTGAGGTGTCTACCCTTCAGTTAGACGAGCAGGGACACCAATATAATGCAAAAAATTGATCAGCCATACCCGATTTAGTGATAAAAATGCTTCCAGGAAGCAAAAAGAGATTATTTTTGTCATATTTTCCCTCTGCGTATGTATGCATATGTGCGTGTATGGACGGTACGCTCATGTATGGTATGGTCAAAGGTCTCTTAAGCGACCACTGCCATATTATAGCGGTCACAACTAGAGCTGGATGTTGACGAGAATGATCTCTCGTAAGCGACCAAGCGATGATAAACTTATCTATCAGGGCTGTCATTTACGAGAGCTCAGTTTTGGCAAAAGTTTCCGATATACATACCATGCATTCTTTTTGGATTTGCTTAGTTTTTACACTAGTAAGCACAAACTGTGACAAAAAAGTGTTTTTATTTTTTCTTTATTTTTTCAAGGAATTGACTGGGAGAAGTTTTCTAAGGGTATCACCGTGATTCTCTCACCTGGGGACGTTCATTATGCAAAAGATCATGGTGTAGCCAAACTTGGAAAAGATGTGAGGGTTTTTAGCATAATTAACGTTAACTTAAAAATAGCTCTCTCAAGAGAGCACAAGTTTACAGTTTTGTTATGTCTGTTGTGCAGTTGCGATTTGATCAACTAGCTATGTCATATGAGCATGAGACTTAACCTGTTTTGTCGAAGAAAATAAAGTGTGATTTCTTGCCTGAAAATTTTCGACCGCACAAGGTGACGCTTATTTATCTGACGAATTAAGTTACAATTCACCATCATGTCATAGCTAGCGTCGAAGATAAAATGAAGCGTGACTTTTTGCATCAAGAAAATTAATATTATTGACGCAACAGGTCACGCTTTACCCTCATGTTACAGTGTATATAGCACGCCGATGAACACAATTGCCCCTTTTTTGCAAAATTTATCTTACATAGAAAAAAAAACAAATTGATAAAATGACAAGCAACGACTAGACCGTAGCAGACTCTTCTTGTTTGCGAACTGAATGACACAGTACTTTGAATCTGGCCTTCAGAATTATCGCTTTTCTTACGGTCACGACATGACTGCATAGTGTTACACGGAAACTGTAAACATAGAAACTAAAAAATAATTAATCAGTCAGGTGGATGCACGAATACGCCTTTCCAGCATCCCGCACCAGAAAGCACATGCAGTGAAACAAGATGGTGACTTGGTTGGAATTGGAAACAAATAACCGTTTTTGTCAGCTTCAGTGCCGGATCCAGACCTGAGATAACGGGGGGGGGGGGGGGGGGCGGTCTCCAAAACAAAAATTTTTCGGCCCTTTGGGCCTCAGTCTGGACTAGACGTAAGGGGAGGGCGGGCCCCCCGGGCCCCTTTCCTGGATCCGCCACTGAGCTCAGGCTCGAGTCGGTGCCTGTGATCACTTAACAGACTACTCTTCCCTCTGTTGTGGAAATACCCTGCCAGCACAGTCTTCCTTTCGCTTGCTCGAATTTGCTGTTCTCGAGAAAGACTGCTTGAATCTAGTAAAATCTTTGTTGAGCATGCTTTTCATGTTGCTAGGATATAGTTTCGAACCCAGGCCTAATAGTCGTGCGCTTGGTACAGCTGGCTCGGTTATGACCATCGGTTTGTTCAATAAACAGGCGCACTCGAAAAAGCCAGTTTGCCGAGAAAAAACAAGATCGACTTTTCTCTTCCCTACTCAAGAAGAACACAGAAAGGGACTCTGCTCGCATGGTGTCGTGGGAAGGGTTTCTCAACAAACGGGCGGATGTGTTTCGCTCCGGTAACTCATCCTGTGTTTTTACTAACATTCACTTTAAGGGCAAAGTAAAGGACATTATCTTCCGAGAAAGTGAGGAGAAAATCAGAAGTTTCGCCCTTGAGAATGGCAAGGTGCCGTTGGTAAGTTGGAAATCCTGTCTAACTGGTAATCAGTAGGAAGGTTGTAGAGATTCGTTTAATTGCGCGGTTTTCCGTCATCAAATTCCCATCAGGAATGTTGATTCCCAGCCATGTGACAAGGCGGCCGTGTCACAGTCGATCGGCGAAATAATACAATTTTTTTCGCAGAATTTGCTTGAAAAAAGAGTTAAGTTCCTAGCGGAGGGTAGTCTGCTACACAGGCGTTCTTTGCGTCGTAATGCACGAGGAGGAGCTTTGCGTGACGGCTTTGTAGCAGACTAAGCGGCTTTTGTTCTTGTCAACCAACATGGCAGCCGTGATTTCAGCTGTAAATCAGCAGTTCTCTAATTTAGGCCCCGTTGTAGTCTGCGAAAACAGACGTTTCTCCTCGCTCATCGTCGCTGGGAGACGTTTCGCCATTAGGAACGTCTGCGACTCAGCGACAAAACTTCCATACTGGTGACGTAAAATCCGTCCGGAATCCGGTTATAACCGCTGATTGGACGACAGAGTAGTTACGTTGTTTTACCTATTGTTTATGAATAACAGACAAAAGGTTACAAAGGTCATTCAAATGTTAACGGGATGAATCTATAACAAAACAGTCAATATTTGTGGAATATATTCTTCTCTATAGAAGAAGCATTTGAGTTCTTCTAGAGCTCGTTCCCGGATGAACACAACACTTTTCCGAAAATCGACCAGGAGAAACGTAAAATTGAACAAATTTGCATTTGGAACCCCACGACTACCGATTTATTACGTAAACATTGATTTACGTCATCAGTATGGAATTTCTGTCCCTGAGTCGCAGACGTTCCTCTACGCGAAACGTGCCCAGGGGCGAGGAATGTGGAGAAACGGCTGTTCTCGTAGGCTAAAGAAGGTGCAGTAAAAACAAACTGTTTTCCTCGGGACCTGACATTTAATGTAATAGGTTATTTACTAGTTAGCAAGTAAAGATATCTTGACTGTGCTCTGTTCTGTTGTGAAACAGGCAGGGAGCGGCTAGAGCACCAAAGAAGAGTAGGGGGGAAACACGAGACGTAGTCTAGTGTTTCTCCCTTCCTGAGTGCTCCAGGCGCTTCCTAAGTGCTTTACAACAGAACAGAGCACAGTCAAGGCTTCATTATTTGTTTTATGATAAAGAATCCGTTAAATTCCCCACGCATTACTTCCAAATGTTCAAAACAAACTATAGGTAAATGGCTGACAGCTCTAGCTCCGTGTTTTATACTCTCATAAAGCAGGCTTTTTCAACCAAGCAGAGTGCGTGTTTATCAGAACTTTATCATAAAAACGTTAATTTTGATTGGCAGGTTAGCGGAACTGTGTTCATGGACATCAAATCTGCCTGCAAGGTTTTGAGTCTTCATGTGTTCCATCCCTTAGATGCTTGTACTTATTTTGGGCTAGACAATGGAGCTGATCCTATTCAGGTATAACTGACATATATATCTAATTTTTATGGTGCGTTTGTTCAGCTATACATTTCATAAGGACCTCGAAATTCGTGATGGCCTTGTCAAATCTTTCAAAGAGAAAAGAAAAGGGCAACTAATGCAGCGATGATATCGAGAACGTCATAAAAAAGCAAGAGTTTAAGCCGAGGAAAAAAAAGAACTTTGCGCGCGCATTCAGTACACTTGATTCCTTTTCCGACCTCTGCATAGCCTCGAGTTGAAATTTTCTTATAAGGGAGTGTGTAAACATACGAGTTGATGGCAAATTTTTCTTTTCCTCTCTCTAGTGAATCTGCCTATGTTTTTTTAAAGCAAATTAAGTGAGTTGTAATATTCTCCATGCATATAGCCTTGGTCTTCGGCCGTGAATCTCTCCGGTCGTAGGTCAGTGGAAAAAAGCGTCACGCGTTGTTGGGAGTAGTACAGTAGCTCTTTTAGACCTCTATTTTCATTTCATTGTTTTTAGGACTAGGGGTATTGTTTGTGTTGAATCATCTACAGTTTCGTTCTCCAATCACAGACCATTCTAGCACGAGGAAGATCTAAAAGGCGGAGCAACTTTTCACTGGGTTTACACGCAGAAATTTTGGTCTTTGTAGTTAGCAGTAGAAAAGGAATCAAAATATCAACGATTACTCACTGAATGAAGCGCTGCAATTTTTGCTGGTTTGTCCCTTCCTAGTACTATGATCTTCCTAGCGAAAGTAGTTTACATGGTACTAGGATCTTCCAACCTCTCAGCTTGGAAGATCCCAGCACTAGGGACAAGTACAACTTTTTGCATGTAAACTGAGTCCAGAAAACATATGGCGCTAGGATGACCCCCCCTCTAGGATCTTCCTGGTGCTAAGATGGATCAATTGAGGTTTCTGGGTAACTGACCACCTACCCCTCCCCTAAGTCACAATTTTGCCTTAAGTGAGAAGTGTTAATGCTGACTTAGGGGAGGGGTAGGCGGGGTACCCGGAAACCTAGACTACGAGTAGTACCCATTTTCCCTCAGGGATAGTATAGCTAGCAAAACGCGAGTGCGCGTGAAAATTACCCCATGCGAGAAAAGGCGACGCGCGCCGGGGAGAGAAAACAGAGTAAACAGCCCCTTAAACCAGCTAACTGTTGGACGTTTCTCCTTTTTTTGCTATGTAGTTGTCCATGATATTTGATATCCTTCTTTGTCTGGCCGAGGATGTGACAGAGTCAGCGTTTGTTGAGGGTGAAAGAAGCGGTTCATATGGTCGCTACATCCCTGTAACGATGAATTCCTCAGAACACCCCAAGAGGACGCTCATGCGCAATGCGAGAGCGATGCTTTGGCAGCGACTAAGGGGCGTGGAGCTGAAAGGAGGTTAATTAACATTTTTTTTGGGGGGGGGGGGGGGTTTCGCATAATGTGAAGAATTCCCGGAGGGGTAATCGTGGGAATTCTTGGTGGGGGTGTCCAGCTGGTTTTCCAAATCCTAACCCTATTTCAGACCAAAAAATGTCATTTTCCACACCCGTTTTCAGACCTGGCCTTTAGATCGAAATTATGTCATGCTGTAATTACTTACGGTTAGAGCGCAAGCAAACATTTCTTCAAATGCATTTCGAATTCGCATATTTCTGTTTTTCTTATTAATTTGGAATTGAAACGATAAATATGTTCATACGCTCCCGTAGTTCCTTCGAAAAACATACCCGATTCCAGACCAAAATGGGTAATGTGTATACCCGTTTTCACACACAAAAAAAGGCCCAAAAACCATACCCTTTGGGACAGCACATTCCTATATGGCTTATATAAGGGATTGCCCCCCCCTCGGGGGAAAGAATGCTGCAGATCTCGGATAATGTTGTCGGCTGAGGTGGATAACAGCCTCCGAGGTCTGCATAGTTCTTCACCATCTTGCTTCCAAAACTGAACTTGATAACATACACTGTTATCACTAGTTCTACACTTAGCAATGCTTATACTCAAATGTAAAGATTTCTTTCAACAGTCCTTCTTGAGAACGGTACGTTTGATTACTCGAAGCCATCTGCAGATTGTTATAGGAGACAAATGCTTGACAGCATTGAATTTCTAAGCCAGAGTGGAGTCAAGTTCGATTTCAACAATCATACGCACGTATCGATCGGTAAGGTGAGTACGCTACAACCGCTTTTCTTTTCCGAGATCTCGGATGTTTTTGAAAAATAACTTCGAGTTTTCTTTTTTCTAGAACAGCACTTGTCATTAAAGACCTTCAGATTCGTGGACGAGGACGGCCATGAGAATTAGATTTGAGTTAAAAGTTTTTTTCGCATATGCTCAAAAAATAGACATCCCTTAAAGCTTGTTTTCACCTTTTTCCCTTGAAAAGTTGACACGGTTATTTTTAGCAAAGGAGGTTAAGCCCTCTCCCGATCGAAAAATGGTAAAGCTTCTAACGTTTGGATTTGATAACTTGTTTCCGTCACTAAGACATTAGAGACCTTTAGATTAGAGGACTAGGGCGATTCAGACTACGAGTACGAGATTTCCCTGAAAGTTTTTTCGCGTATTCTCAAAATATAGACCCCCAGGAAAACTTCATTTTACCATTTTTCACTACAATAGTTAGCAGCGTTACCTTTAGTGAAGGAGGTCACGCGCTCTCCCGATCACAAAATGATAAGACTTCTAATTCCCGCCACTTTGACATTCTCGCTAAAACACATAGCATAATGACAACGGCTACCACTTTTCCCGCCAAAATGGCGTTGGCTCACGCGCGAAGACAACTTATTACTGAGAAAATCTCGTACTCGTATAGTCGTACTCGTCTTATTCTTAAGAATTTCAAGGTCTATATTTTCGCTAAAAACGCACAGTACAATGACGGCGCCTACCATGTTTTCCCGCCAAAATGGCGCTGGTTCATGCACGTGCACTACTAGCTAGGTTTTGAGAAAATCTCGTACTCGTAATCGTCCTCGCCTTAAGGTGATTTTACACGGGACGATTCGCAACGACGCTGAAAAGCCCTTTTTAGGGATGGTTAATAAAGTGTATGTATGTATGTCCTCCATAAAACTTGCAATTAGGCATGTTCACGTCGTAGTCTTACAAGGACGGTAAAGAAATGTACAAAAAAGCGTGATCCCCTCGCAAAGTTATTGTTTTGCACAATAGAGAGCTTTAGATTCTAAGACGAGTACGACTACGAGTACGAGATTTTCTCAGTACTAAGTAGTGCTTGCGCGTGAACCAGCGTCATTTTGGCGGGAAAATGTGGCAGCCGTCGTCATTCTGCTACGAGTTTTAGCGCGAATGTCGTAGTGGCGGGAACAAGTTATCAAATGTTAGAAATTTTAACATTTTGCGATCGGGAAAGCGCGTAACCTCCTTCACTAAAGATAACAATGCTAACTTTTCTAGTGAAAAATGGTAAAATGAAGAATTCCGGGGAGTCTATATATATTTTGAAAATACGCAAAAAACTTTAAGTCAAATCTCGTATTCGTGGTCGTCCTCGTCTTCAAATCTAAAGGTCTCTAATAAACCTATTTCTTTTTTGACGTCGCCGTCGTCGTCGTCGTCGTCGTCGTCGTCGCTAAAGCTCCCCGTTGTCGATCAACGAAAGAAACTCTGGAAAGTTTCTTTAGCAAAATCTTGCCAAAACTTCTTCCGTTTTGCAACTTTGCCGAGCTAACGAGCTTTCTTTCAAGATTCTTATTAGCAGTTGCTATTTTGTTGTTTCAGAATTGTACTCCCATCCCAAAATCCTCTGTTGTGATAAATTCGATCGTGGAGGATGGCATCAAGATTGGGGAGAATTCAGTGATCTCTAACTGCCATTTGAAGGTGTAATACTCGTTCATTGTAGTCCTTATGTTTTTTAAGCTATTTTACAAATGGACAACAATTTTCCATGGTCTGAACTAGTTTTGAACATTTTGACGTGATTACTTCCGATTATAAGCCTCCCCCCACACTTATAAGTCCCCCATTTTTGGCCCATCTACCTGAAAACATAAAAAATACATCCGGTTATAGCCCCCCCGAATATAAGCACCCCCCCCTCTCTAGCTTGTATTAAAATGAACTCAACTTTTTACTACTTCTTGAAGCGTAAAAAAGCCGATCAAATTCAAAAAATATTTTAATCAGCACTGCTGTGTAGCTTGTTTTGAAACACTTTTTGCAGTCCGGTTATAACCCCCCCTCCCCCCGAATATATACCCCTCCGTTTCTAAGCCCCCCCTCATACGGCTGCCACTGCCCGGGTGATATGGCTGTGCGCATCGATTGAATCTTGAAAATGATAGGCCAACGTTTTCAAGTTTTCATGCTATGGCTACAAAAATCACCCAAAACGTTTTATGGTTTGTGCTCCCTGATGAAATTGGAGATGTGCAAGTGACATATGGGTAAAGGCAGTACGTTTTTGACTTCAGCACAGAATTAACCTAAAACAGCGATATACTCGTGGCATAGCCCCTTTAAACACGAGGTCAATTATTTAATTAGCAACGATTTGGTTAATGCGATTTAACACTGAATATAAGGATAAAATGTTACAACTATATTATTTAAATATTCCAGGGGGATTTGTCCTTTGAATCAGGGTCAATCTTAATCGGTATTTCATCTAAAGCTATGAAGGTGAGATAGTGTCGTCAATCGAATTCTGATTCCATTCTTCGAGCGGTGTGCGTGGTTCTTTTTTGTGATTTTTCCTGTTTGTGATTTTTCGTAGGATGTTCCATCAGGAGTAACTTTTCCTAACGATTTGTGCGCCATTCACTTCAATGTTGACCTTGGTGACAGACCACAAAGAGTTTTGGTTGTTTTGGGCGCTCTTGATGATCTACAGGTGAGGCTGTTTTTCATTACCACTATTGGTAGCAGCTTTAGCCTCCCTTCTAGACGTTCTTAAAGGTCTGTCACGCGTCCCCCCCCCCCCCCCACGTTGGGAAGAATTGACCAGAACGTCTGCGTGGAAGGGTATAAGCTCTTAAGGTATCATCCCACCTTCGGTACACTCCTCGCGCGGATCGTGCTAGCGGTTGTAACCTTAATAATTACCCCTACAAACCGCACATTTTCTAAAAGCTTAATGGTTGAAGATTACGGCTAATTTCTTTAAACAATCCAAAATGCTAACGCGTTTCAGAATTGACGAGCTTTTTGCAAAAGTATACATGTCTCTGTAAATTTAAGTCCAGGTCAGCCAAAAACAAACGAAAGAAATCGATTAAGATCGCGTTCGCTTCATGACACGTCTGACTAGAAAGCCGTGACTCAGATTTTTGACGTGTGCCTTTTTTCTTTTGTGATAACTGAGTAGATGAAGTAAGTGATAACAAATCATTAGAATTACCTGTGGAAAAAATGCTATTACTTAAAAAGCGAAAAAAAGAAATCAAAATTCGCACAATTGTTTTTAGAATAACTATCTGGCAGTCAGTTGCTCAAATTTCAGCCAATTTGGCTCACTGGTTGCCGACTTGTAGTTTTAAAATGAACGCTCAACTTGGTCTGATTTTCATTTTGAGAAAACAGACAGTGAAAATGATGTATTATCTTTCTCGTCATGCAGACGCCATTTTCATCAGAAAACAGCACGTATTGCAACAGACCATGGCAGACGTTTTTTGATGGAACAGGGATCAGCCCTAATGAACTCTGGTTTGGAGTGGTAAGAGCTGTATACATCTCACTGCGTATTGCACATTTGAGATTGAGCGGAAGACTGGGTCTGTGTTGTTTCAAACTGCGTTATGGGTCCAAATGTTTCCGCCAAACAGTCCCACAATGCAATTGGACACGATCCTGACCCAGTCTTTTGCCAGTCGGAGGTTTTTCTTCCCTAGACACAGTCAACCTTTGTTCGTTAGGCTTCTTGGGGGTTTCTCTCTTGGGCAGTGTTCACAGTTGGTGCCCGGACACGGTGCCCAAGTACGGTACGGTGAACACAACATCATTTTGTGCCGATACCCAGGCACTTGTTCCCGGGCACCATGTGTGGACAGCCCCTTATCTAGGCTACATTGTTACGCAACAACAACCAACGGCAAAAAAAGTTGGTTTGTATCATCTGTTAACAAATTCCATAATTTGATATCCGCCTAACGGGATGTTATATTTTTTACCCCTTTTGGCTTGAAATAGGGTAGGGGAGTTACATATTTTGATCTGAAGTAGGGCGAGCTTTCCAGAAAGCATGTCACCCATCCTCACATAAATTTTCCAGCCTTTAAAAGCATGAGGAGGCTTGAAATGGTGGATAGAAAGGCCGAGGGAAAAGCGAGACTGCCTCTAGCTCCTTACCGTTAAACTCGCGTTAAACTCGCGCGGCGTTATATTGACGCAAAATTGTTTATAGGCGTGAGAACTTGACTCGTGAGAACCATGAATTCCAGCGCTCTAACCGCTCGGCTACGATGCCTCTAAACCAATTAGAGTATTTAATTTTGTGAGGTATAAAAAGGTGATTTTCTATTTCTGTTGTAGCCTGAACAGGAAAGAAGTCTTATTAATGCCAAGCTCTTCCCTACGATCCATTGTTCTGTATCACCGAACGAGAAAGCAGACGAGATCTTGTGGTTGTCGATGATTGCAAGCGGCTTTTCAAAGCGGTTATTTTCTCAAACCATGGACGTTAACGAGAATGTTTTCAACTCGTCGCCTACAAAACGTCAACATTTCGTTTATTCTCTTGGGCGAGGACTTGCGGATCTGCTTCAAAAGTAAGGAACGTCTTTGTGTGCTTGCGTGTGTGCGTGTAAGGGAGTGCTACAATATATTAGGCTGATTTAGCAACAGGACTGGAACGTCAGTTGACTTCGGGAAAGCGCGCGGAGAGGACTAAACACGACTTTCGGTGCTCAATTTGCTGCTCTGCCATTGGTCAAGCTAGTTGTTTGATTTGCGAGCGCCGTCGCACGGTCGTCAACTGACATTCCCGTTCTGTTGCTAAATCAGCCTATAATATAATAGGGAGCTTGAGCAACGACCATGGCACAGGGAGCAAAAAGCTCACTTAAAATAAAAAAGCATTCGCGGTGTTTCAAACTTCATCGATCGTATTCCATTTCGTTCAATTTGTCAGTGTTAGCGAATTTTTGTGGAGTTGAGTTCTACTTTTGTGGAGTTGAGTTCTAAAAGTTTATTTCTAAGTTTAGACAAAGAAAAACGTTGTCTTGTGTTGACGTTCTCCATGAAATGTGAAATTAGGAACTTTCACGTCGTAGTTTGCAACGACCGCAAAGAAATGTACCAAAAAATAAAGCTTGATGGACATGCAAAGTTGTTGTTTTGCTATTCTAATCTTATTGCTTTTTTCCGTTCTCGTTGCCGTCGTCGTCGTCGTTGCCTAAGCTCCCTGTTAAATTTAATAACTAAGATAGTACGTGCGCCCTGATTGGCCAGGAATTAAGTAAGTTGGATGAGAGTAAGTTGGTTTCACCATGTTTTGCTGTGCACGTGCTTAACACCATGATTATCGAGTGATTATGAAAAAAGGTTGAGTTAAGAACTCTAGAAGTTTACATTATTTACCTATTTCTCTTGGTCGACTTTGCATTTTAAATGCCGTTTCCTGTTTGATTTAGGTCAAATCTTTTCATCGAAGATTTTACGTCATGAACAAATGTTTGATCGTTTAGGTACCTCTTCCAAAAAGTTTCAGTTTCAGTTTATATTTTTTGCGCATCCTTCTGAGCCCGTGATTAGCGCGCACACCTTAAAAAATCGCTTTAAGGTTGGAGCTCCCAAGAGAGGTAAATCTTCATTTTCTCTTAAAACAGTATTGTTCCTTACCTTTTTCTCTCTTTCTTTTTGAGCTTACTGGCTTATAACCAGTAACGTTCTATCTTCGTAAGATTGAATGAATGAATGGTTGGATGGATAGATCATTAATGTCACTGATTAATTAAAGTTTCTATAACATAAACAACCTATCGGTAAAGTTTGAGGAAAATCTCGGTGCAGGTTCTATTTCAGAGGAATGACCCTAACCCCGTGAGCACCAATATACAAATACAAATTCTCCACACAGATCTTCATACATTTCGTAAAAGAATTAGTAGAGAGAATTTGTTTAAAAAACAAGGCATTTTTCTTCAACCCCCCCCCCACTTGAGTGAATCATTCTGTTAATTCCCGCAACCATCTTTCTTCTTAATCTATTGATATTGTCTCGAGAATATTGATGTTGGTCAGTCTTGGTGACTTAAAAGAGTTAATGTCCATGATCCGTTTTTTCAGGTGGCGATCAGCCATCAGGCTGTCCTTGCAGGACATCCTGTCCTTGCTGGATTTGAATGCAGAGTTTGATTGGAAAAGAAGGTTGTGGTTTGAAATTGGGAAAGCACAAGCCGAGAGCACACTGAGAGACTGCAAGAATGATTGTCTCTTGCCATTCTTCAGAAGCTGTGTTCAAGAGGGATTCGCAAAAGACATCCTGAAAGTTTTAGATCAAGGTAAACGTTCATTGTAGACCCGCGGCAGTCCGCGGAACTTGATTTTAGGCGGAACTACCTGCGTAGGCTCCAGAGAGTGGGGGCCGTGGTCTTCTGGAATTATTCAGAGGAACGAGAAAACAAACATGAGGAGATTAGACCAGACCCAAAAGAGTTTCTGAAATTTTTGGCCAATCCGCACTAGCAGAAAAATTTGGAATTTTCTTTCTCAAACTCATTAATAATTCATGTAGATAATTCAAAGGAAATTATTGTTTAATGAGTGTTTTGAAATCAGATGAAAAACTGCTGGTACAAATAGGCATTCCGGGGTGTCTAGCTTTTGAGAATATACGCGAAAAATCAAATCTTGTACTCGTAGTGGGCTCGTCCTCGAATCTAAAGGTCTTAGTCTAATGTCTCATTGCCTTAAAAGAGGATCTTTATCCTCAAGGTTCACTGATGAACTGTTTCTTTTTCTCAGTTGCATGCAGTACGAGTTCTCCAGGCGTGGCCGCTCGGACTTTGGCGTGTATTGCTGACGTATTAGGTGCTATGGCAGGAGAGAGAGCTGGGCTGAGAAGTGGTCCGGCCCGCAATGAATCCTGGATGGATGCCTTTCAGTGTCTGGAGGTAAACGAAAGCAGCTAATCTGAATACACAGACTAACAAAACTGGAAACCTCTTCCTTAGTAGTACAGTGGAACCTCGATATAGCGAACCACTACATAACGAAGTTCTCGATATAACGAACTATTTTCTGTACCCCAGTAATAGTAAAATATATCGAAAAGGACCTCGATATGACGGAACCTTGTTATAGCGAACCAATTTTGCCAGTCCCCTGGCCCGTCGTTATACCGAGGTTCCTCTATAATATAGATTCAAAATGTGACCTGTTATTGAATAAATCTTATTAATATACTAGTAATCGAAGGTTAAGGAGTGTGGGCGACAACGATCGAAGGTCAAAATACTTTTGCTCCAGCGCTTTGCTTTGCGTGCATATCACGTGATAGATGGTCAAAACACGCGTTATCATATTACGAGTGATAGAAGGTCCAAATGCTCGTGATCAGTGGAAGTCCAAGCCAAGCTGGCTACGTACGTGCCGTGCATGCGTAATAGCAATCTGGAGATTAGGATTGCGGGCTTCTCTTTTGGCTGGCAATTAAATAGCTCACGCGATACATTTTTTCGACTTTGAAAGCTGATGTCTTCTGTTTGTTTGTTTGTTTGTTTTTTTAATTTAGAAAGGAGACATCCCAGCTGGAGTGAATGCACTCGCAGAAGAGAGAAATAAGTGGCTTGAAAGGTAAATCATTATGACCATTAGCGTTGCGTTAGTTTTTAGCGTAGGCCTGGTAATACAGGAGGTCTTCACTTAGGCCGCATCTAAGTACAAACATTGACTCTTCGTTTCTCCGTTTTTGAGTGAGTTATATATTCTTATTATCTGTGGTATATGCGCCCTTAACAATAATAATACATAGTGTTTGATGTCTAAGGAATGATCTGCCCCAAAGTGATAGAAACTTAGAACGCTGTTTTGTTAAACACCTACCTGTGTAGTTGCAGTATTCTTTTCATTTCTGTCGTCAAGTGGATAAAAATTACAATTAAATAATAAGTTTCGCACGGATGGAGTCCGCTTGCCGAGGGAAACTAGAGTGTTTGATATACGAGCTGTTGATTATAAAGGATAAAAGACCTACGCTAAATACGCAAGCGGACTCCTGCCATGCGAAAAATTTTATTTAATTGTAGTTTGTTCATTTTCACGTTTAAATTACATGCACTTTTCGCACTTCCTTTTTCTATAAATATTACCACGAGTCCTGTTAATTTCTTATCTTTTGATAATGATGGCATGAAGCTATCGAAACGTCAAGTTTCTTTTATATCGTTAATTTTGTTTTAAAATGTATCTCTAAATCCATCCTCATTACAAAATTTTACAGGAACACGATAAATTAAAGTAGATCAGGTAAAAAAACTACCGAGAATAGCAAAAACTAAACGAGCTGAGTTGCATTCTATAAGGTTGTGACACACGAAAGATAAAGAGAAAAATACCTTAAATTTGGGAGAATAAAAATAAATAAATAAAAATTAAAAAGAACAAAACAAAAACAGAACGGTACCAGATAGCTATAAATTTTACATTAAATGGGATAAATCAAACAAATTGCTATCCAGCATTTAAAGTGATAAAGAGGATAAATAATTTCCTTCGTCGTTTGCCTAAATAAATGCAAAGAAGTACTTTTTTTTAAATTTTACGTCCAGGTTATTCCAAACAGAAGGACCAGGGAAGCGTATAATAAATTTACCGTAATTAGGCCTAACCTTGTCAAAATAATAAGCTGACTTTGATGCTAGCCTAGTATTATTATATAGCCATGCTTAGTGATATCCGTGAAAAGAAGTTGCCTTAAGCCTCAGGTAGTAAATTTTGACGAAAGTGAAGCATAAAAAGGGCGAGCCAAATCAATAGTCACTAGGAATGAGCTTGACTAAACCTAGCTGTGAAAAAAAGGGGGCTGGAGTGAACATCTCGATTAGAATATGTAATTATTTCTACTTTAATGTCAGAACTCTACTTTACATTGATGTAATTGATCATTATTTTTTAATAGACCCGATCTTCTGATCCGAGCAGCTCGCCATTACGAAGGAGCGGAACAAATTTTAAGACGAAAAGCGGTTTTTACTTCAAGACAGGTCTGTTACACGGCTGACAGTCTACAATATAGCCTGCTCCTGTATATAATTATATGGCTTAGTGTACACGTTAAAAGTAAATACAACAAAAAAAGTAGTTTTACACAAAAACCTGAAAGACACTGAACGTTTCCATTAAAACAAGCAAAGCCAACCTTGTAGAATTTCAAGTGGAAGCGTAATTAGAACTAGTTCTGAGAACGGTTTTATCGAATTTAGCCCCATTGAATAAGAAATGTTAATTTTCTTAATCCTCCTCATTTAAATTATTCTTTCATACAGTTTTTCCAAAGCGAGGAATGTGAACCTGTCCCCAAAGGACACTGGGTAATAGCCGAAGCACCTGGTAAGCTATTCTCAAAGCTGAAAACATTGTTTCCTTTCAAAGGCTTTACATTAGCAAACTAACGTTAGAACTAACATAACCATGGATTTAGTCAAGGCCAAACGCAAAGCTCTTGTGAGAGCTCTTAAGAAATGTCTTTCTGAAGTAAACTTTTGGGAGCCTGCGATCAGTTGAATACCATAACTGGACAGCAGAGATCTTAAAAGAAAAGCGTCACCTCAATGAGTTGCACACCTGAGCTCGCAATACAGACATGATCATACATGTCCAACATCGAGTTTTAAAAACATAAGTTAATATGCCTTGGACTTTACGGCTAGTAAGTAAGACATTTCACATCGCTAACATGAGGGCGGACGTACGTACGTTTGTCAGAACCAAAATTTATTGAATGCATAGATAATCAAATTTTGTTAACCACGGTGCTCCGCTGTTAAGAAAATCTGAGGCGTTGGATTTTCTGGTTTGCCATTATTGCATTAACCTTTATCGGAGAGGCTTAACCCATTCGCCGCTGAACCGCCCGTAACCGCCCGTGCGGATCCACGTCCTTTCTACCCTTTGTGACGTCATCAGTTTTAACGGTCAAGGACAACTTTGTCCGTTAACTTGTGCAGAGTGAAGAGATCTTTCCAACCATACCAGAATGAGCACAATTCAGTCAAGGACACCGGAGAAAGGGGCAAAAAACCATGTAACATTGACCTGAAAATCTCCAGGAAAATCTTGTTCCATTGCCCACCTACCTTTCCTTTCACCTAATCCTAAGATCCTAAAAGCTTTCCTAAAAACTATTCCCATTAAAATGAAGCCTACTAAATGCCCGGCAAGAGAAAAAAAAATGAGGCAAGAAAAGCGAAAAAAGAGGGGAGGAGAGAAAGCGAAAAGTAAAAGTCAAGACTGCTGTGTCACTTTTAAACCCAAAAACTCGAAATTTTGCTTTCTGCGCATGCCCGAACTTCGCAAGCTGATATTTTGCAACTGGATCAGAAGGCCATGAAGTGTACGACCTGTAAACCGGTTTGTGGTAAGTTTTAGCTCTTAATAGCACGACAGTGACCAGAAAACCACTCGACTAGCTTCAAAACACGTTTTTCGGCAAAATCTCCAAGAGCGAATGGGTTAAAAGCGCTGCCAGAACCCCACATTTACGTACCCTACTTGCAGACGTTTCTTTCCGACTTGGTTTTGGCATTTTTCAAATCGTCTGTCGCGTCGCTGAAATTAGTGTAGTTGGCTTGTTTAACCCCATGTGCCAATGTCAGTGAAGCGACTGATGACTTCGTAAATGCTAAAAATCATGTCAGAAAAATGTCTGCTAGCAAGGTAAAAGGCGACGTTTTAATCCCTGCCACTAAGAACAGGGCTGGGTGCCTTATGCTACAACGACTGCTTGGGTAACCTGTGGCTTAATTAAAAATCTTTTGCGGTGCATGACATCACGATAAACACAACAGGTTTTAATCTCTCATATGGTCACCCCACCTACCCTGTAGACTTCATCAAATAGAGACATTTTATCGACAGGGGGGCTACCTCAGCTCCCTAGGGTCTTTCCGCTCCATGTAAACAGGCCCCCTCTACTTCACGACTAACGTTTTACTTGTGCAAGTTCATTCTTATCTCTCGGTTGTTTGTTCCCTTTCAGCTCGAATAGATTTGTCTGGTTGCTGGACTGACACCCCTCCTGTGACCTATGAGCACGGTGGGGCTGTTCTTACCGTTGCTATTAACCTTAATGGAAAGGTAAGGGGGAACCATACTGCATTTATTTTGAGTTTCGAGTTTTCCTTTCTTCTACAAATTAGGGCTTTCGTTATTCAAACCCCGCTAGAAGTATCAAATTTACTGGTATGAAAGAAAGACGAAAAGCCAGGATTCTGGTCATAGTAATAAAATGACACCATCGTTCAAATGCCGCATTCTTTTGTGTTTTGCACATGCTAACGAAGTCAGAAAGGCTAATAATAGATATAAAAAGTAGTAATAGGCCGCCATTGTAAAAGAGGTCAATTAGCCAAAGCCGAATTTTTAACTAATGGTTGTTTTCTTTCCTTTTTCCCCTTTACAGAAAGTAACAGGCGCTAAAGTTAGAAAAATATCTGAGTGAGTGATCATTTTCGAAATCTTCACGCCTTTCCAAAAGTAGAATCTGGGACTGTACTTTTTATCATCTGTACTATTTATCGAAACGTCGACTCTAATTTAACTGATTCGTGGGGATTCGGTTCGCTTTGTACGCATGAGCGCAATAAGGTAATAGGGAGTTTAAGCACCGCCTTTTTTGAGCAACGCACGACAACCGGAAGTGGACTTTTTGCAATCTTAGGCTGTGATTTTGAACAAATTTTCCAGCAGCTCGTCTCTATCGTAGTAAAGACACTTAGCAATACAAATTAGGTAGCATAAAGGCAAATTAAACAGGAAAAAGGTTCACTTTCGGCTGACGTACGTCGCTCAACAACGTCGTTGCTTAAACTCCCTATAGAGTGTTTTGACTCACGTGGCCAGCATCTATGCAAATTTATTGGAACAAAAGAAAGCTCTTGCATGAGAAAAGAGTTCAACTCCCAGAGGATTGGTTTGGGAAACCAACATGGCCGCCGTTTCATTGTTTTGGGACACCAATATGGCCGCCGCGACGTCATATGAAAACGCTCTATTAGAGAGCTTAAGCAACGACGACGGCGACGTCACCGAGAACGGCAAAAGATCAATAGGTTTAGATAAGGAAAAAAGACCAACTCTGCACGGGCATCACGCTTTAATTTTTTGTACATCTCTTTGCCGTCACTGCACAACTACAACGTGAAAATGTCTAGTTTCACGTTTTGTCGAGGACATGAACACAAGACAACGACTAAGACTTTCTTTTACTCTTCTTGAACTTTAGAATTATTTAGAATTCAACTCCAGGAAAAATTGCAAACATTTGATTAATTGAACGAGATGGAATAAGCGCGATAAAGTTTGAAGCAGCGCTACTTCACTTGTTGAGTGACGTTTTCGTAACCGTAGCCGTTGCCGTTGTTGTTGTTTAAGTTCCCTATTCACTGGAAAAAGAAGTTGGGCTAAAGAGAAATTAATCGGCTGATTTAGCAACAGAACGGGAACGTCATTTGACGACGGGAAAGCGTGCGGAAAGGACTAAACTCGACTTCCGGGGCACAATTTGCTGCTCAGCTATTGGTCAAGCTAGTTGTTTGATTTGCGCGCGCCGTCGTCAACTGACGTTCCCGTTTTGTTGCTAAATCACTCTATTGAGGAAGAAGGAACTGCTCCTATTTGAAATATCCTGCTTGAAGGCGTCCATTTCCCTCATTTCGCTTCTTGAATTACAGTCAAGAGGTCTACCATATATTAATAATAAAAATAATAATAATAATAATAACAAATAATAATAATAATAGTAATAGTAATGATAATAATTAATAGAGAGATTAAGCATCGCGTTTACGGCACTGCAAACATGGCGAGATTCAAGTTGAGGAATTTTCAAAATGAGAAATGAACAGATAAAAACAGCTTAAAACAATTGTTCTGGATAGAATTGGTATGAATCTACCGATTTTCGTGTAGTTATAACGAACAGTAAACGATAAGTAAATGGAAAACTTTGTCACGTGGTACTAATTCAGTTTTGAAGTTTGCCGCAAATGCGATGCTGAATCTCTATATCAATGATTTAAATATTGTTTTTAGGCTTGAAATAGTCCTTGTGATTCACTCTGGACAACACAGTGTTCGAGTTGTATGCAGTGAATTAACGCACTTGGAGAATTACACTCAGCCGCATGCGCCAGGTAAAGTTAATCCGAGGCCCTCTCTCCTTGCCAACTTACCCTTGATGCCCTCGCTGAGCCTCGATACCCTCAGCTGAGATCCGTTTAATCATTATTGTCCTACACAAACTCACTCCAATCTATTTTAGTAGTGGGTTTTCCACCAACAAATTTCGAACGCTTGGTCACCACATAGAGCGATTTTCGTATGACCTTGAAAAATGGTTTCGTTAAGTGTTCGTTATTTGTTTTATTATCCAACGGATGAAAAGATTAAAACGTGGCCTCTTCGGTTTCCTGATGATTTCTAGAAAGTTCTTGGGCTTGAAGTTTTTTCACCGGAGCGTTCGATTAACCAACCAAAAGCCGCGCGCGTTTGTATCCGTTAGATAAACCAATCAAATCGCTCTATTTCCGTTCGTTTGTTGTTTCTGTTTTGTTCGCGCGTTTTCATTTCAAGGTCATACGAAAATTGCTCTATTCTCTTATAGGCCAGGTTTATATGGAGAAACCCTGTTCCGGATCACAGGATCAACCTCCCTGAGCAAGCGTTTATTTTGAAAATATAGTTGACCCCTTTGCCCGAGCCAACTATGCATGCGCATGCTCTGTTTATGATGGCCCAGCTAGGAGGGTGACCCTAACATCACAAAAGGGTGAACCGGTTGGGTCAATCTTCTAGCCGAGCCAACTTTTTGTTTTGTAACAAAATGTATGAAAAGTTGGCGCGCCTAGGGTAAAGCTGTATCTCGGGTAGGCGGATGACCCGTCTACTCGGGACAAGTTTTTTCCATATAAACGGGACTTTGGTCGCTGAGATACAGCCAGGATCTTTTTTCTTCACGAAAAACTGGAGAGTTCTTGATTATAGTATAACGTCCTTTTAATTGCACTTTCTTCTTTAGGTGCCCTTCTTAAGGCTTGTTTTTGCTTCCTGGACATTGTAACACTACCTTCAAGCGAACCATTGAGTGCCCAGCTACAGAGAAAGTATCAGGCAGGGTTTGAGCTTCACACGTGGTCGACCGCTCCTCAGGGCAGTGGCTTGGGAACGAGTAGCATTTTAGCCGGAGCTATTCTTGCCGCATTGCTACGGGTTACAGACCGCACAGCCAGCTTGGACTCACTCATTCACGCTGTGATGATCGTTGAACAAATGTTGACCACTGGCGGCGGCTGGCAGGATAACGCTGGTGGACTGGTACCAGGATTTAAGATGACTCGATCCCAAGCCTCTTTACCTCTGAAGGTTGAAGTGGAACCGCTAAAATTATCTCAAGCCACCGTGGATGCAGTGACGAAACGATTACTTTGCCTTTTCTCCGGAAAACCACGTCTTGCTAAAAATTTGTTACAGGTAATAAAGCAAATTTTCGTGTCACATGAAAGACCTATAAAAAAAATGTGAGTTAATCGTTAAGCCAGAGCTAATCATAGAGACATGAGTAGTTATTCGAATACCGTAAAATTCCGAAAATAAGCCCCTCCATGTATAAGCCCCTCCAAATATAAGCCCCCCAAACTCGTAACGCAAAAAACCCTCCGTTAAATCGCCCTTCTGAATATAAGCCCCCGGGGGGGCTTTTACTTCGAATTTGCCCTCGAATACAAAGAAAAACAAAGCAAAAATGGTAAATTTCCTTGCCTTTACAAGCTGGCCCAATCGATTTTGAAACGCAAATTTCCCTCCGTAGATAAGCCCCTCCGAATATAAGCCCGTCCTAAAATAAGCCCCTCAAAAAGGGCCTTTGAAAAACATAAGCCCCGGGGCTTATTTTCGGAATTTTACGGTATTTGTTGTCTTTGTGCTATTAGTCTATTGCAAGTTTAATTGTTAAAACTACTGCCGTTCTCCTTGCCGTCGCTGTCGTCGTTGGTCTTGTTGTCATCGAGAAATAGAGCTACCATGGTAACGTGACGTCACAGTTCTCCTATCTATTTTGGTGGTACGATTTGTAGCCCACAAAACAATCTTGACTTGACCGCTCTCCAGAATGGATTTTTTTGGATGCGACGGATTTGGTGAATTCGTGTGGACGACTGAAACAGGGGGGGGGAGGGGGTGAATCCAAACTGGATACACCACTATTGGGAGTTAACAAATTCTGTAGCCCAAATGCGTGCAGATCGGAGGTAGGCCGTTTCCCAATGCGAACGAAGACAAAGTGCAGAGCCATTAAATAGTGGATGAAATTTTGTGAGCTGGAGCACCAAATAAAATAAACTCTCTGGAATAGCATATACAAACCAAATTGGTCAAGATAAAAAGGAACTTTGGTCAAGCAAATTAAAACGACTATTAAATCTCGCAGGTCTTGGCGACATATGGTCAGCGAAAACGAACACTCCCGCAATCATAAATATATACCACAGAGACTCTTAGGTATAGAACAGCAAACATGGATTAGCGAAATACACAATGATGAGCGAAAGGACCCGCATCAAAAAAACAAACTAAGAACTTTTAGGAAATTTAAACTTACCCATGACTACGAAAATTACCTCACAAATGTAAGAAACATCAATCATAGAGTAGCAATCACAAAGCTAAGATTAAGCAACCACAAACTAGCAATTGAAACTGGACGATACGTTAAACCCTATCAACCACCAGACCAAAGAATCTGTCCATTATGTAAAACTGGAATAGAAGACGAGGTGCATTTTTTGATGAATTGCATAGCCCATAGGGATCCTAGGAGAGAGCTGTTCAATACGCTAAAAAAGGAAACTAATCTTATTCTTGACTCTATGACTCCAAGCTCTGCCTTTGCAACGTTGATAAGTATGAAGCAAGGAGGGAAAAAATTGTGGCTAAATACGTATATGATCGCTTCCGCGAAAGAGATAGACGCGTTAAATATAACCTTGTTTAATAGTTGTATAAATTTTACAAATGTACATGTACACCTCTGTAATTACTGCACGAAAATCTTTGTTATCGTTGTAAACACATGTGTCTGTAGGCGCTCTGTTGATAATAAAGCACTTATCCTATCCTATTCCTATCCTATCCTATCCACAACACCGAATTCGAGTAGAGGCAAATATCAAGTATTCAGTTTCAGCGTATAAGGATTCGTGTTTACGTGGGCTAAGAATGTGTACATAAATAGGAATCGGTGGCGATGTTTAATCGTAACAATTACGGAGGCTACGCAACCACAACGACGGCGTCAACGAGAACGGCAAAAAAGCAATGAGTTGAGATTGACTTTTCTGTATATTTTTCTTTGCCGTCACTGCTCGACTACGACGTGAAACTCCCTAATTTCACCTTTTATGGTGGACGTGAACACAAGAAACGGATATTCTTTTTGTTTTTGTGAACTTTAGATACAGTCCTTTAGAATTCAACTCCTGAAAAATCGCTAACATTTGACAGGTTAAAGGAGTTGGAATAAGAGCGACGAAGTTTGAAACAGCGCGAGTTCACTTTTTCAGGGACGTTTTCGCTCCCGTTGCCGTCTTCGTTGCTTAAGCTCCCTTACGTCTAATTGAAATGCTCCAATTCTCGGTTTGCATTGTTACGCAATGAAAAATGAAAATGCAAACCATTCAATACAGAGAACGTCTAGAATCTGGGAAATGAAAGAAGATAAATATACAAAACGTCTTGCCAAAAATCGGGTCTGTGCAGTTTTTCAAATGCGAGATATTCGGAAAAACGAGTTACCTAAATTTACAAAGCTTTGTATGGAAACACCATGTTGGAGTCCCTTTCAGGGACACCAATATGGCTGCCGGATGCCAACAGAAACATCTGTTTTCGAGTTTTCCTACTAATGCGGGAATTCTTCGCTTGAGGAACTCATAAAGATTAAAGTAATATTTATTCTGAGACAAAACATGTTTAGATAGCAAAATCTCCCAAAATCGGTAATGTTTTTAACCCACATAAGAGCTCTCCTGGACGTCAGCTAAATGCCGCGTCACGCAAAAGCCGGAAACTTCAAGCGTCCTCTCTCGCAAAACGAAGAATCCTTTGGAACCAAAAATTTGTTTATATGAAGGTGTTTAGGTGCTGTAATATCCCGTGAAAGTGGAAACTCAGACGATTCGATAGTTTCTTACTTTGATCTTTAGTGACGTCATTTGCAAACGAAGAACATTAATATCGGTGAATTCAATTTAAAGCCTAATGATTTCGCGTTTTTTAGGATGTGGTCAGGAACTGGTACGCAAGGTTTCCACACATAACTGAAAACGCTGATAACCTGATAACAAACGCAGAGGAAGCCGTGGAAGCACTCAAGACAGGTAGAATTGGGATAAATGTTAAGCCCCGTGAAAACGGACGCAACAATGTTGACCAACAACTCCCAACATTGCTGGATGTTACATGTTGCGTCCGTTTGCACACCCTGTTGCGTGTTGTTGAGAGTTTTTGCGCAAAGTTTGAAACCATTCAAACTTTTGAACCAACGACTACCAACGTCTCTTTTGCTCCGTGACCGCTGAAGAGTAGCGCTACAATGTTGGATCCGTTTGCACAGCTCTCTCCAACATTGTTGGGCCCACGCAAGCGCATTACACACGGTTTACAAAGTCTTACGGGTTGCATCCTTCCCACGATTTATTACTGCAGATCCCAACATTATTGGGAGCTGTTGCGTCCATTTGCACACCACTGCCAACACGGACGCAACAACTTCCAACATTGTTGGCCCAACTATGTTGGGAGCTGGGAGTTGTTGCGTCCGTTTACACGTCGCCTTTAGTTATCGGACTGCAAATATTGGCCAGATTGTACCAGCGTTGCCTGACATCTTGTCACTTAAGGTTGGTACACACTAGGCAGCAATTTGCAGCAACACGTTGCGGCGACACATCGCAGCGACAAATCTCTGTAGTGGAAATTTTTCTGAAAATCTTTGTCTCCACAATAGAATTTTGTCGCCGTAACAAGTCACACAAAATCAAATCAGACTAAATTTGTGCAACTTTTTGCGGCGACAAAATTCTGTTGCTGAGACAAAGATTTCCCAGTAATTCTCCATTACAAACGACACGATTTGTTCCTGCAACGTGTCGTGCAACTTGTTGCATCAACTTATCGCCTAGCCTGATTCCCAGACGTCCGAGGTCGTTCGCGGTCCATTTCGCTTCCCTCCCTCTCCCGGAAAGGACCTCGAACGACCTCGGACGTCTGAGAATCAGGTTACTTATCGCCCGACCTGTACTGAATGAAGGAGTGATTGGTCGCCGCGACGTGTTGCAGCGACAGAATCAGCGTTAGAATCTGTTTTTAGATCTCGCGTTTAATTGCAAATCTGGATCCAGATTTCCCAATTGAACACACCCTTATTCATCGTTTTTAATTTTTCAGGAAATGTTGAGAAGTTAGGCGCCTGTATGAATTGTTACCGTAAGCAGAAGTGTGTAATGGCTCCGGGTGAGTAGCTTTCAGTAACTATTCATTCCCTTTCCATCATTAGCAGGGTTTAGAATCAGGTGAGACTCAAGTTGACAATATCTAAAATTACGAAATGACAAAAACTGTCCAAAATACTTCTAATGGAGGAAACTGGCTTGAAACTACTAAGTTGGTGTAGGTGTAATGAACAGCAAGAGATAAACAAAGGGAAATGTTGATGCGTATTACAAATAGACGTTTGTGGTTTGCCCGGTATAAGCCATTTCCGAGTTACCCAAAGTTTCGAAATGAGTCTTAAGGCCTGTATAAATGGAGATGGGGGACCCCAATTGGGTGTGGTAACCTGCGTAGGTGGGGTAACCCGCCTGTTCATATAATGTCTCATTTTAATTTGGTTATGTTAACATGATAGGTGGGGTGACCCGCCACATGTTACCTCACCCATCTAGGGCTCCCTCACCTCCATGTAAACAGGCCCTAAGTGCAAATCCATTGATATGAAATTGAGTTTTTATTCTCATGCAAATAATACTCGTTTTCACAGTGAGAGTTTAACGAACTCGGAAATGGCCATTGTTAGTCTCCCAAAAGCTTAGGAGCGTCGACGGTGGAGTGGGAGGGGCATTGCAAGCTACAAATGGCTTGTTCTTGTGTTCTTATTGCAATTTAGGGGTAAGTTTTTTACGTAAACAGGTGTACTCTCGTAATTCGGGCTTAATTTACACAAAACCTAGGATACTGCTTCTGTAAAAACCAAAGCTGTTAGTAATACACACATTTCCCACAGGAACCGAACCTGATGCCATACGAGATATGATGGAGGCACTGGACCCTTTCGTATTAGGTGAGACGTTGTTTGTTTTTACCATGCTTACCAGGTGTACTCCGGATTTCAAGTGACTGGGATGATCTAATTGGGGGCAAAAATCAAAGCGCAAAAAAATCCGTAGGGCTTCCAACAAAAGCCCAAAATTTCCCTGGAACAAAAATTAACCCCTCAATAAATCCCTTATAGAACTACGCAGCTGAAATACGCGGGCACCACAACATATCTGCAGATTGTTTTAAATACCTAAAAAATCCCTATTTAAATCAAACCACCCCAAAAAATACTAGCTAAATTTTTCTACCACCCGCAACCGCCCCCACCAAAAAAAAAATTTCCGGAGTCGAAGATTTCCAACCCAGAAAAATTCCTTCCATGATCCCTGTCACTTGAAATCCGGAGTACCTCCCCCTGGGAGCCAGAGGGTTTTTCTGACAATAGCTTTGTAATTGTTTCAGGACAAACCTTGACCGGAGCTGGAGGGGGAGGCTTTCTGGTTCTTATCACTAAAGAACCTAACATGGCTGATAAAATACGAGCTGTGATCGAGGAGAAAAAGGTACTTGCGCCTGAATGTCACTTTCCGTCGATACAGGCAAAAAAAATCAACAAAAGAGGAAATTGCTAACATCAAACAGTTGTGTTTTTCTATTGCTAACAACGTTCACAGTGTTAATCACTCTCTAAAAATAAAAGCCGTTGTAAAAGTTTCCCGAAAACTATGATTCAGGTGATGATAGAGTTAAGTTTTATAACCTGAGACACTGTGAAACAACGACAACAAAAGCAACGCGGCTAGATTTTGCCGGGGTAATAGGTGATGGAGTATGTGGTCGAGGCTCTTCACCTAGGCTAGACTGTTCACATTCCTTTATTTTTCCATGAGATCGTCAAGATCGAAATTTCGTTACGGTCGGCCATCTTGGATAAGGGTCAAATCTACTTTAGGTGCAATAAAACGGACAACAAAGAACGTGCAACTTGTTTTGCAACGTTGCTGCAAACGAGTTGAATAGCGATGTTGCGCGGTTTATCATCACGAAAAAAAGCTTGGAGTCATATTTGTTGCAAGACAGGTTCGAACATGGGTGGTAAAACGCACAACATCGCTATTCAACTCGTTTTGCTGCAATGTTGCAAAACACATTCCCCTTTTTTGTTACCCTTTTTACTGTAGCTCTAGCAGGAGCGGGGACGGGTAAAAACCTCGACGTCCGCTTCGCTTTTAGTAAATATAAAGCCAAGTTGGCCGACCGTACGGTAAGGTTTTGGGAGAAAGCGCTGGCAGATGGCGCAGACAATTGTTTCGTTTCCGTTTCAAACTTGAAAACTCTTGTTGTAGTAACCTATAAAGAATTGAGTAAATTTACATGGTATTAACGATATATTGTCACGGAGTTTTGTGTTACATTTCGCGCGTGACATTTTTTGATCTTAGATGTAGCCGATCACGTTTCGAACACGTGATCATGTCACACTTTGAACGGAGTAGTTTTTCGATTTAGAGAATTGTAATTTTGTTGAAGGCACGTGTATCGGTTTAGAAGCCCGTTACTTTGTAACCTGAGATCAGGCGTTATTTTTTATTTTTTTTTGCGCTTCTTTGCTTCTTTGGCTCGAGAGGGAAAAAAATAACGCCTGATACATTCATTTAACAAGCCGTCAACCACCCCCTAATTTACATAATCTAACGTCTGTATGACCAGTCATGTTATTAGCCAATAAGCGTTTACCATACAGGAATCAAATTTTGGCGCGAATAATGTCTATTTTGAAATCAATTTTGGGGAAAAGAAATTTTTTATTTAAGTACGTCCATGTTCAGATGGCGCTTCGATTCCTAAAAAAAATTAAATGCGTTCTTTTTGTGATGAAATACTGCTAGCTGGAGCTGCCGTACCTTTATTTAATAGCTACAAGTAATAAAGAATTTACAGGTTAAAGCTCGTTGACTTCGTTCCGTACCGAAAGCAGTGAAAAAAAAAATTAGGCTGAAGCACCATATTTCCCGAACTGAAAGGTGTGGTGAAAGCGAAGATCGATCAGAATAATTCGCAGATTTCTGAAGGACGAATTACAGTCAAACCAGGTCAAAATTCCATTCATGAATTGGTTATTTGAAAAGTGAACCCGTTTGTCGCTTCTGTAACTTGTAGCCGGTATCAAATTGCATTCAAATGATCAGTGAAGTTTTGACTGCAACTATTTAGTATACGATGAGATGGAAAATATTTCAGTGGATGAAACTTCTATTTAGGCATTGTTCAAATTCAAGAAAACTGAGCCGGCAGAAATTTCATAACGAACTCGCGCGGCGGGGCTAAAGTGCAGGTCACAGGTCACAGGTCAGGTCACAGGTTACAGGCCACAGGCCACAGGTCAGATCACAGGTCAGGTCACAGGCCACAGGTCAGATCACAGGTCAGGTCACAGGCCACAGGTCACAGGCCACAGGTCAGGTCACAGGTCACACAAAAACCAATAGGACACTGGACAAAACTGTTCTGGACTGACGTTTTGCTATACAAAAATAAAATAAGCCAAGGAACCTTGATGATATTTTTGTCCTTTAAACAATATTAAATCGGTTTGACATCGGTTGCAGGGTTCGTTTGTCACACACAGAGCAAGTTGTTCTCTTAAGAAGTCGATTCCCACAGTTTTATTTTTAGATGACTTTCCAAAGTCTTACTTTTAGAACTAAGTTCTTCATAATTTTGCGGTTTCAGGCTTCGGATGAGTTCATTTTTTACGACGTGAGCGTGGACTGGGATGGACTGACTGTGAGAGTAGAAGAACCGTCGAAATGAGTAATGCACCTTCGGTAACCACCAGAAGTCGTGAAACTCTTGCTGTTAGGCCACAGTGATGTAATCGGTGAAGAGCAAAAGAAATTTAGAATTTCACTTCGAGTCAGGGAAAAGTAAAATTTTAAGGGACATTTACATATTTTACGGGCATGAATCACGCTGTATTGATAAAATATTGTTCATGAAGTTGAACAACAAGCTTATATTGGGTTTGCAAAAAAATGAATCCTGTTTGCACGTTATATGAAGGAAGGTATTAATTCATTTACGTTGCACGTGACTTGCTGAAAGCATAAATAAATGGGTTGGGGGATAGCTGTCAGGGGAGCGTTGAGTACAATATCAGAACTAATTTGGGAAATTGTTAATTCAGTTGGTCAGGGAAATTTTTCATTGGTCAGGGAAAAGTCAGAGAATTTCAAAAACCTCTGGCTGTAGCGACCATGTTCTAGATGATGAAGATATTTACTTGAATGTCACAAATTTAATAGAATATTTTAAGAAGTTAATCTGAATCGTAATTAGTCTAGTCTATTTTCAAATAACAAAGTCCCTGACTTGAATTTATATGCAAGGTGTTTCTACCCGTATGTTTTTGTATTTCTTTTCTTTTCCTTTTTTCTTAGTTTAATTTAATATCGCCTTTATTTATTGTCCAGCCTAGATTAGCATAAAAGCTATTTGTGGGGCGTAAAGTATTGTAAATTTTATAGTTCTGTTAATAAATACAGGGTTTCAAGAGAGTCATATATTCCTATAAAATCCTATTTTTTGAGACCCTTGCTATAAAGTCGTATGACCACGCGCATGACCGAAGGCGCGAGACGGGAGAGGCTGCCGCCCTCGTTTCGCGCGTCTTTCGCAGCCTCGTCGCTCTACGATCGGGCGTGCGTGCACTCCCTTTACTAGATCTAAAAAAAGAGAGACTGCTCCCAGTCTATTCATAGCGTGAATCAGTGTAGTCTCCTTCGCAGCTCTTTCTTTTGGGTCACGAAACACTCTAGGGTAGCCTCCCCGCTGACGTCCTTTAGGGTTCGTTCGTAACGCATTCACAGGAGCGTTGCGTGACGAGCCAGGAGGGAGGGGTCGTCTCTAGGGTAAACATTGGTTCACTGATCACTGCCAGTGTGACGTCACGTCATACATCGGTGATTTTCAAAATGGCGGGCAAATTTCTTATTCGTTACGTTGTAAAGGGTGTCAATTTTCCGAATGTTGGAGCATGCGAAACGTCAAGTAAAACGTTTTCTTCTCCCGCTATGCGTTTTTTCCTAAATCTCTCTTTATCTTTATCTATTATCTACGACCCCACCCATGCGCGCAATAGGAGACAATGGGGAGACAAAGGAGATATCAACATCACTGTTTTAAGAAAAAATGCGCTTCTGGTTCAGTGCTTTAATATCAAAAGGTAACTTTAGCGTGAGTATCGCTCGGAAATATTGAACATACTCTGAAGAGATTTGTAACAAAATTTCTGTGTACAAAGTTAATACTGTTTTGAAATCTTAAAAAAGTGTTTGCACAGAGAAGGATGGACATGCAGCTTGAGAGGCAGTGGCGGTCGTTGGGGGTAGGGAGGGGTGGGATCGGCGAGCGGGCTTGGGTGTGGCAGCGACCTGCCATCCGAGCGAACCTGGACACGATATGCGTGACACCCCTTGTCACATTCTAGTTTTAAGATGGCGGGGGTTTCTTCAGACGGCACAAGGAAGCGTTGGACAGCAGTTGTGTTAACTTGCCAAAACAAAACCAGTGCTCACACTTTTCAGAAAGGTAAATAATTCAATGGTGCGTAATCTTACCTGTCGTGTTGTCCTACGACGTGTAACTGAAATGACGTGTCGGCGTTGTGTGAAGGCAGCCGGTATGAATGTATTGTTCGTTTGCGATCGCGTGCCTCTCTAAGTTAAATGTTTTAATCTTTGCATATAAAAGGCTTAAAAAGCGTCCAAGTTTTCACTTGTTAATTCAAAGTTTACAGAATTATTATTTCAAGTTATAGTTTTTGCATCGAACGCTCTTGCGATCACGCGAAGCTCAAAATTATATGATTTCTTTGTTGACGATTTATATTGTAGATATTTAAATAGGTTGCTCGCTCAGTTTCTAAATAACGTGCATGCTTTGACATTCGTAGACTACGAGTAGTCCCCATTTTTCCTCAATAAATATCCCCTGCAAGCTACCGATGACAAGAGCAATGACAGCTCAATGAGGGAAGGAATGCCATTGGGTGCGCTTCAAAAGCTATACGAACTTCAAACTCCTAAATCATTCGGCCGTGAAGGGTCAAAAGCTTGGGCTTTGTCAGTAGTCCCTCTTTTTTCTGTCTCCCTGCCAAGTCTCGTCTTTCTCGCGTGGGGTGATTTTCACGCATGCTCTCATTTTGCTCGCTGTACTATCCCTGAGGAAGAATGGGGACTACTCGTAGTCTATGACATTCACAAGAAGAAAAAGGGCTCAGATATCAAAGTATGGTATTGCTTAAGTTATGATTTGTAGTGATGTTTGGCGTACATACATGCACTACCCAAATTGAGGTAATTGTGAGCGAAACATTGCATCAAGGGATTACAAAATATGTTCATATTTGTGTCAACTGCTACTCAATAACATTCTGCAATTTTCACATGTAATGTCTAGTTATTCTTGAGTATTTAGAAGATGATCTCAGCCAATCAAATAATTTTGCAGAAATGTTTTGACCAGAATACATAAATAATTATACACTGTTGTCACTATCTTAAATTTGATTGGCTTCCGGCTGGGCCACTGCTGGTGACCGGATCTAGTTTTGTTGTGTCTTTCTTATTGACAAGTTATTATACATGTTCAAGTGACATCATCTTTGCAGACAATATTTTTTGTACATGCAACAGTGATATCAAATTTGCAGATGACATACCGTGAACTTCCACTTGGAAGCCCCTCCCCCAGTTATGTTATAGGCCCATCTACCTGTAAAAAACAATACAACTGTATAAAAAGCTTCCCCCCCAGATATAAGCCACCTGTAGCTTTTATTGAAAAAGAATTCAATTTTTTAGAATGTTTTGAAGCATAGTAAATTCAAAACATACATATGTATTTTGATCAGGACTGCTACAACTGTATGTAGCTTGTTTCCCCTTCCGCCCCTCATTTACAAACCCCCCTGAAAGACCTTTTGAGGTTGTATAAGCCCAAAGCTTATAAGCAGAAGTTTATGCTATCAAGAGCTATGTCAATGTTTACATGTACAGTTAGTTTACATTATTTAAAATCATATTGTGTGATATTTGATCAATGAATATAAACGTGTTCTGTTAGTGATGGGTTTTGTTTTTTTCAAGAACTTGAAATCCATCAAAATAAAGGATTCATTGATAAAGATGTGTTGCTGTTGACCTTGGAAGACCCAAAGGCTCGTGTTGGCAGTGGTGGTGCGACTGTTAATGCCCTATTAGTTGTCACAGAG